AGACATTTGCTGTGAGAGATAGCATCTAGGGGGGTGCCCGGTGTGCTTTGATATTTATTCTTAAATCAGTGATCAGTAAACCCAAGTAAAGCTCTTCCTACATGAAAATATAGACTGATAAGTGAAGGGGTTTTCTACATATTAAAAGAAAGAAAATTAGCTATCCTCAGAAAAACAGTCCCAAATTATCGAGGCCAAAAATATACCCTAATAGGGCCTCAGTTACGTGTCAACTGTACACTTCCATCGTCATAAATTGCGCACTTCCGGCGACTTCCGCCACCGCCGAGAGTATCCCCCCCAACGCCTCATGCGGGGTGAATTGGGGCTAAACTAGATGGATGGGACTCACGAGCAGCAGCTACCGCATCTCCTGCAGCTTCCTTCATTTTGTTTGCTCGTGAGTCCTAGCCATGTAGTTGAGCCCCAATCCACGCCACGTTATAGTCGCCGGAAGTGCCCAATTGACACGTGACTGAGGCCATGTTATGGTATATTTTCGGCCTCAATAATTTGGGACCGTTATTCGGAGGATAGCCAGAAAATTACTGTAATCTATAATACCTTCTATTCCATTTAGTACCAAATTGCCTGTGTGGGTTTTAGGGCCCTAATTTAGGAGAATTAAAAAAAAAAAGAAGAAAAAAAAAAAGAATAGACCACTGCCTTTTAAAAAGAATATCATACTATGTAGACTAATTAATGGTTTGTGAAATCAGTGTTGGACTGAAAGATGCAGATTTCACAGCCTTTCTGTAAACCACCACAAAACAATGTGCCAACCCTCCCTTTAAACAACAATATCTTGTTCAATCCATCCAGGTTATAAGTGAGATTATATAGTGTGTGTTTTTCTATTTTAGGGAAAAGGCGGTGGGGGCGGGGAGTACCCACTGCTCCCCTCGCAAGCATGTCTTAAAAGGCAACTAATTAGTAGTCTCTTCTCCGAAGTCAGTCGTAAATGGCTTTCAGGCAAGGAACCAATTGTGTGCAATGCATACATTCCAGGGCTATCTTCCGAATAATGGTCCCAAATTATCAAGGGGGAAAATATACCCTAACAGAGCCTCAATCACGTGTCAATTGTGAACTTCCGGCGACTTAAATTGTGCACTACCAGCAACTTTCGCCAGCGCCGAGAGTATCCCTTATGCCACTCACGCAGCGTGGATTAAGGCTAAACTATATGGCTGTGACTCACGAGCAGCAGCTACCGCATCTCCTGCAGCTTCTTTAATTTTATTTGCTCATGACCCCCGTGTGGGTTCGAGGCCTATTGTGGGGAAAACAAGAATAGACCCACTGCCTCCCCAAAAGCATGTCGTAAGAGTTGACTAGCTGGGGGGGCTTCCTTTGAAGTCGGAGTGCATCTGCCTGAGAGGCAAGGAACCAGCAGTCTGCATTCAATTGAATCAGAACTAGCGACCGTTATTGCAAGGAGAGCCAACTTTTAAATATGTAACTGAATTTTGAATTAAAATAAAAGTTGAAAAAAAATTAATATTTGAAAGGTAGCTAATCTGTACCTCAACAAGACATAAACAACAAAACTGAGTCCTCTGAGCGACCATGCCTTTTGGTCTTAGCCAAAATGATAACCTTGAAAACAATTTGAACGTGTTAACTTGACTAAAATGCCGATTTCTTACCGAGTTGAAGACAGAACCAGCAGCGATTTGAGAAAGTTGAACTGTTGTTGACCTCTTGGTAGCTTGCAACAAGGAATCGGCGTTATGTGGTGATAATAATGAGAACGGTTGGAATCTGTGGTAGCCACTACTTTCTTGACTCTCTGAAGGCAACAATCTATAATATAAATGAATCTATCTATCCATCGACGCCAAGAGAAGTTCAGCTTATGCAAGAGCGAGAAGCGTCAAGGCGAGACAAAGATGCGGAACGCAAGGGACGCTAGGGTTGTCAATTTGCACTGGACCTCAGCAGGCAGGCAGGCAGCCCTCAGTCAGACACTTGTCATTTTGAGCTGAAGCTGCCAAATAAATGGCTAAATTCGACCCGCTTTATGGCTTCACTTGCGTTCTTTCTATCTTAGACTTGATCAGGCGCCGTCTCCACAATGACGATTAGCTATAGTATATCCTCATTACTTTCTCTCTTTCGTCCTAGCTGTACACTAAGGGCGACGGAACCTGGGGCGCAGGCACCTTGAAACACCCACCCCACCCCCATATTTTCTAGGGCCCTAAGGAACCACCTTAGAAACTCTGCAATGGTGGTAACACCCCCTCCCCCACCCACACTCAGCCTTTGTTCGTTTCGCCCGTCGACGTAAAGGTCGGCACAACCAAACATGAAAAGCCCACCACCCAGCACTGGACTGGCACTATTTACCGCGCCACGCTGATGAATTTGTCGAAATGGGGAGGGGGATCTGAGCACTTACAGACGTGTCCGGAGTGCTGTAAAGATAATCCAGCTCATAACTCATAATTCAAACATGTATAGCCGACTCTTTACTAAGCTAAAAAAATACATTTCAAATGAATCCGGTACTCACTCCAAAGCCTCTAAAAGGGTTCCAGTACTCACCATAAAAATCTTTTACAGCAGTGTTGGGGGGGGGGGGGGGCTGAAACCTGAAAACAGATGGCGATACTGTGCATGGCTATGCACTGTCTGAGATGCCATTGACGTTGTCCTTCCATTTGTAAAGCGGTCAACATTTTGCTCTCTTACTGCCTCCCCCCCCCCCCACCAATGTTATTGGTGGGCTGAGCCGCGAGCTCTTGTCTGTAAAATGTGCAACTGGGGATGGGGGAAAAGGTGCTATGTGACCACCTACCTATATACAAAACTTGCCTTTTTATAAATTCAAATATATCATTATATTTATTTAGCAGTCAGCAAGTAGTAAGAACATTAATAATAATAATTACTATTGCGCAATTAAATAAAGCTTACACCTCCTGAGGCATCGCTGCTGGAATATTTATAAAGAAACTAGCATCCCCTCTTCCCTTCTATGGCGATATTCAGATCGTGTCGAAGATCTGTAGCAGGTAACCTTTATTGCGGGGACGGTAATACATTGATTGATGTCCTGATAAAAACTTTGAAATTGTTTGGGCTAACTTTGCCATAAATCTGCTAAATGTGCCAAAGAAGTAGCTAAAATCGTAGGCCTGATTTAGGTAAGGAAAGTAAAAATTAATCAAAATTACCCCCCCCCCTTTTTTTTTTTCCCCACCCTTTTCCCATATATTTGCTTATACAAATTTTGTTTACACTATAACAAAAGAACTGATCAAAGAAGGAGACATAAAAGAACGTGAAAGTTATAAATAAACGACAGCACCCAGATTTGGCCAGTATAAAAAATGGTAGGAAGTACACATAGGACAATCTTGACCCTCTGACACTGCTGTGAACCCGACAGCTCAAGGACCCTTTTATTGTCTCTTTTTTGACTTTCAGAGCCCTTATTAGAATGAATGTCTAAGGCGTAGCCAATAAGGCCCACACATGCAATGTGACCTATTTAGAAGTACTGAAAAGCAGCGGAGGAATTGGGAAAGGGTGGGGTTGGGGTGGGGGGGGGGGGGGGGGGGGCTATCTTCGTCTTCTTCTTCGCTTTCACCGGTTGTAAAATCTAGCAGAAAGTTCTGGGGGGGGGGGGGGGGGGGGCTTGTTTATTAATTCCCCCCATGTCAAAGGTTACGGGACAGTCTAATAATTTAGGTAGAGATAGGATGGGATGGGGAATTCCAGGTACATTACGTGGCGCAGTATGTTGTTTTGTATGGGAGATTACCGCAGTGTGTTGTTTCGTTATTATGTCTGATGATGTCATAAAGACCTGTAACGAGAAGAAAAAGAAGTACTCAGTAGGGTGCTGAAAGATGAGACCAATCTGTATATCAAAACTGACATTTACAGACGATGTGGCCCTGATAGCTAAATCGTAGGCACACCTTCAGTCCAACTTACTTGTCTGGAAGGAAGAGCTTGAGAAGAGAGAGATGACCATCAGTATCTCCAAAACTAAAATCATGGTGATCTCAAGAGAGGAGAAGAAACACCAGATCATGATGGGACAGCATGCATTGGAGCGGATCAACCAGTTCAGATACCTTGGAGTTGTATCAGACCGAAACGGAGGCATTAAGACTGAGCTGGCTACACGAAAAGCAGCTGTTGTGAGACTCTTCCAGGCCATAAACCGAGGGTTTCTTAGCAAAAGAGAAATTGGCAATAGATTGAAAATGACTGTTTATCGCTCTACCTATGTACCAGTCCTTACCTATGGGTATGAGTCATGGGCAATGACAACAGCTCACATAAGCCAGCTTCAGGCTTCAGAAATTAGATATCTGAGAAAGATGGTCCAAGTGACAAGAAGGGACAAAGTCTGCAGTCAGACAATACGTCAAGATCTTGATACCGAGTCCTTACAAACCCGAGTGGATCAGTCACAGTTACGAATGGTTTGGAAATGTATGCAGAATTGGAGAAAATCGGCCACCATAGCAGGCATGGGAGGCTAAGAACCATGAAACCAGGCTGCCCAGTGTCTGCTGGGAAGACAACATCCATCAGTCCCAAACTGACAGAGGACTGAAATGGAACAAAGCCAGAAATAAAACTGCAGATAGAGAAGTCTGGCGATCTCTCTGGCAAACCTCTACGCCCCAAAGTAGAAGAGGAACGACTAAATAAATAAGTAAGCCTTTGCTACAATCACTATTACTGCTGCTGTGCTGCAACAACAACAACAACTACTACTACTACTACTACTACTACTACTACTACTACTACTACTACTACTACTACTACTACTACTACTACTACTACTACTACTACTACTACTACTACAGATGTACTGAGACTGGTGTTCAAGTGAGAAGGCGAACTATGACCGATTACGTAGTCATCATGGCACACGATGATGCTGACGAGGCAGCAGAACTACGACAGGTAGCCATCTTGTCTGTAGGTGAACCTGGATTGTGTCTCCAAGGAGAGAAAGACCCTTCTCGGCGATGATAAGGTCGAACGTTCGTTACGAAGTGGTAAGTTCATCAGTCTATGGCAAAACAGAAGGAGATTCAACTTTATATTTAGTCTACGGTTCATAGATTAGATGTGTTGTTTGTATGATTTCTTTGTGTTTGAGTTATTGTTTACTGACTGCGTATAATTTGTGTATCGTCATCCTTGCTCATTATGATGTAATTTATATTTTAATTGAAAATAAAGTTGTGTAAATTTATATGAAAGCAACTCAAATGTATTATTAGTATTGGGTCTGGACAGATCAGATTTATAATGCCGCAACATCAGTCTCTCATTTCTTGCTTATATACTTTTTGTTCGGTTTTACTTTTATATCTTTTTTTTTCATTTCTTCAGTCAGGTGCCGCCTCCGCAGCGAGAAGCAGTTGGTACGGAGATAACTTAAAGATGATTTAATAATTGATTATGATTATATGTAACGTAAGAATAATACGATGCATTCGAAATAAGAATAGATATACAGCATGAGTCAGCTGTGTCATTCTTGCTGAATATAGACTGTATTTATGGACATTTCAGTAACTAACATCAGAAAATGAATTTAAGTGGACCCTGACAGAGTACAACTGTATACAGTATACGGCGCCCAGTATACTATACTGGATAATTTGGACTTAGCTCTATTTTTTCTTGTACTGGACTCACAGAATCAGATACAATCAGGGCTTTGTTTTAGAAACAAAAAAAAAAACAAAAAGGTGCAGGTACCCTTGACAGAGTGTAGAAAAAAATGATAGTTTTCTGTTCACCACAAAGAGTCTGTAGCAGTAACAATACTGAAGCAAAACCTTAAAAAGGTGTCGGATAAAGAATAAAGTTTAAAAATTTGTAGGGCTTAGAGGTGGCAGAAATGGCGCTTATGCCCCTAGGGCCCGTCCTAGAAAATTTCTTGGGCCGAAAGGCACATATATCGCAGTTTAGCTGTAAATCACAACACAGTCTGCCAACCACCCTTTTAAGGTTGACACAAAAAAAGAAGATAATGTTCACTTTGTCATCAGTATAAACTAATTTAGAAAGGATGTTACCATCAGAGTTCAGCTTCTGTTGATTGATACTGTGTATGAATGTATATATAATTGTATGTGTGTGTTTATAGGCTTTGTGGGGGAGGGGGGGGTTAGGGGGGGGTAGAATTAGTGAGGGTAGGGTTAAGGGTACACAGTTGACAATTCGCACTTAATTTTTAACTCTTTGAGTCCCAAGGAACGTATCATAAGTTCATAGATTCCACATCTAGAGGCCCAATGAATGCAAGATGCACCAATTTTACATCTCTCTTGACTAGCATTTGGGCCTCTGATGCTAAACCCCATGGGAATCAAAGAGTTAATGCATCATTTCTGCAGTGCATCTATTGCCAACACACAGTAATTACGTCATTTGTTTCATTCCCTCTTTTCCACTCCGTAATTGCAATGTGGCCAAGTTACTAAACTCCGGCGCACTCCATAATAAGTGGCCGTAGTTTTAAGGAGAACCAACAAATGTTACATTCTTTAAAAATAATTTTTTGAAAAAAAATTTTGTTATATTTGTTTACATTTTACAGCTTCCGTGTGAAGAACAGCATGTCCCAGCAGAACCTGTAGCCATGGCAATGGTAATTCCACCCCCAGAGTACACTGAAAGTGCAAATTTAGAAGGACAAGGTACTGTTCATTTAGTTCCCCTTCAAATTCAACATAGTAGTCTTCTTTGCAGAATTTGTTTGCTTGTCCTATTCTATTGTAGTCTTTGCATAATTTTTTTGCTTGTCCTATTCTACTGTAGTCTTTGCACAATTTTTTTGCTTGTCCTATTCTCTTGTAGTCTTTGCACAGTTTGTTTGCCTGTCCTATTCTACTGTAGTCTTTGCACAATTTTTTTGCTTGTCCTATTCTCTTGTAGTCTTTGCACAGTTTGTTTGCCTGTCCTATTCTGTTGTAGTCTTTGCACAATTTTTTTGCTTGCCCTATTCTGTTTTAGTCTTTTGCACAATTTGTTTGCTTGTCCTATTCTATTGTAATCTTTGCACAATTTTTTTGCTTGTCCTATTCTGTTCTTTGTACTCCTGTTTGTGATATGTCTCCTCTCTGATGCTCTCCATATGCTTAGATATTTGAATTTCCAAACTCACCCCAAATTAAGGCAATTATTTGAGTTGTGCATTTAGCCATGATCTGTTCCTTTGCTATTATCATTTTTCTTTCATGTCATGCAAGCTGAGGCCTCATTTATGAGTTCTTCAACAAGTCTATCATTTCCTGTAGGTCCTTCTGAATTATTGTTCTCAAGTCAGTGTTACCATCATTCTTCTTCTTCTTCTCTAGTCCTTCTGCCTTTCAGCAACATGTTTTAAAAGGTATCGGGTGCGAGCCTTGTACTACGTAGATGCTGGTATTTATGGCCTCGGCTATTCCATCTAGTTCTGCTCTCTTTAAGTCTGAGTGACAGGGCTCTGTGTGGTGCACTGTCTGGTTGTAGTACTCTTTAAGTCTGAGTGACAGGGCTCTGTGTGGTGCACTCTCTGGTTGTAGTACTCTTTAAGTCTGAGTGACAGGGCTCTATGTGGTGCACTGTCTGGTTGTAGTACTCTTTAAGTCTGAGTGACAGGGCTCTGTGTGGTGCACTGTCTGGTTGTAGTACTCTTTATGTCTGAGTGACAGGGCTGTATGTGGTGCACCGTCTGGTTGTAGTACTCTTTATGTCTGAGTGACAGGGCTCTATGTGGTGCACTGTCTGGTTGTAGTACTCTTTATGTCTGAGTGACAGGGTTCTCTACGGTGCACTGTCTGGTCGTAGTACTCTTTATGTCTGAGTGACAGGGCTCTATGTGGTGCACTGTCTGGTTGTAGTACTCTTTATGTCTGAGTGACAGGGCTCTATGTGGTGCACTGTCTGGTTGTAGTACTCTTTATGTCTGAGTGACAGGTGTCGTGCTCTGTCTGGTTGTAGTACTCTTTATGTCTGAGTGACAGGGCTCTATGTGGTGCACTGTCTGGTTGTAGTACTCTTTATGTCTGAGTGACAGGGCTCTATGTGGTGCACTGTCTGGTTGTAGTACTCTTTATGTCTGAGTGACAGGGCTCTATGTGGTGCACTGTCTGGTTGTAGTACTCTTTATGTCTGAGTGACAGGGCTCTATGTGGTGCACTGTCTGGTTGTAGTACTCTTTATGTCTGAGTGACAGGGCTCTATGTGGTGCACTGTCTGGTTGTAGTACTCTTTATGTCTAAGTGACAGGGCTCTATGTGGTGCACTGTCTGGTTGTAGTACTCTTTAAGTCTGAGTGACAGGGCTCTATGTGTACTGTAGTACTCTTTATGTCTGAGTGACAGGGCTCTATGTGGTGCACTGTCTGGTTGTAGTACTCTTTATGTCTGAGTGACAGGGCTCTATGTGGTGCACTGTCTGGTTGTAGTACTCTTTATGTCTGAGTGACAGGGCTCTATGTGGTGCACTGTCTGGTTGTAGTACTCTTTATGTCTAAGTGACAGGGCTCTATGTGGTGCACTGTCTGGTTGTAGTACTCTTTATGTCTGAGTGACAGGGCTCTATGTGGTGCACTGTCTGGTTGTAGTACTCTTTATGTCTGAGTGACAGGGCTCTATGTGGTGCACTGTCTGGTTGTAGTACTCTTTATGTCTGAGTGACAGGGTGGTGCTCTGTCTGTTGTAGTGCACTGTCTGTCTGGTGTAGTACTCTTTATGTCTGAGTGACAGGGCTCTGTGTGGTGCACTGTCTGGTTGTAGTACTCTTTATGTCTGAGTGACAGGGCTGTGTGTGGTGCACTGTCTGGTTGTAGTACTCTTTATGTCTGAGTGACAGGGCTCTATGTGGTGCACGGTCTGGTTGTAGTGACACATGTCCAAACCATTTGATCTGTTGTCTCTTGATGTAGCTTAATATAAGTCCCCCAACTTATTTCCTGATATCGTTATTTCTGATCCTGTCTCTTAGTTACACTTCATGGTGGACATTTCATTTGTTTTTTTTAAAAAAAAAAAATGTTTGTTGTTGTCAATGTCCACGTTTGGCAGTGGTAACACAGTGTTGGTTAAAAAGTACTGCACTGAGCAGTGCACTTTTGGTGTCAATAGTTACATGTTTATTCTGCAAAATTGGTGACATTATTATCATTAGTTGTTTATATTATGATCACCAAGCACAACATCTGATAGTGTTATATTGATGTTATTATAAGGTCACTGATCAACACCTGTACATTTGTTTTAGTGCTGTTTATATGGCTGAAAGAATTCCCCATGGGGATTTAGTCATCATATCTATACACCGCCAGTCATTTCTGCTTAAGATGTTATTCTTTGCCATGATGCCAAACACTTTTCTGTTGGTCACCTTAGGCCTCTCTTTCCTTAAAATTTTTGTGTTGTCATAACACACTCCAATTTCCTAATTCCTGTGACTAGCTCAGAGAATGGGGATTGTCAGCTGTGAAATAATTTTTCTTTTGTGAGTTAATTTCTTTCAAGACACCTTCACCTTTGTTCTTGTTTTTCTTCACTTCTTTTTTTACCGCTTCAGGTGTTGAGGCAAATATGATGTTCTGCTTCTTGTTTTTCTAGCGCCTCCACAATAGACACATTGTGCTGTTGTGCAAAGTTTCACTGATGTTACCTTTCCATTTTGTTCTTCCTCTCCCTCTTGCTCCACATCCCTCACCTCTTTTTGTGATAGGCCTTGTATGGTGTGACATTACAAGGTACTTTGTCTAGCGGGGAGACCATTTTATTTAATTTTTGTCTTTGTATGTAATTTAGATTTGGTTCTGTGCCCACTTTGTCTCTTATGACCTCATTTTTAATTTTATCCTTTTGTGGTCACTCTTGCAGTCCTTCTAACATCTCATTTTCATGGTTATTAATTTTCTTTTCTAGACATCTTCATTACACTTCTGTTTAAATCTGTTAATGGTGAACTAAATAATTTCTCTTGATTTAAAAAAAAAAAAAATCAGTGTCTGCTTTGCACCGCTAGGCCTCGCAGTTTCACAGATGTTAGGTAACCAAGTCAGAGATTGTTTAATTGCTTTGTTATTCTGTGATGTTATGATGTCATAGTTGTCAGTGACTCTGTGAGCCTGTGTTCTTCTAGGCTTCCCTCTGCCACTCAGTGTTTCCACTTTCATGTTGTCTGATTTCTTCTTTTTCTTCTTCTTCTTAGCATTTACCAGCTGCGAACCCTGGTGAAAAGTTCTGGTCGTTTGTCCATTTTTTCCAGAATTTAAGTTCATGGGGCAAATGCTTATCCACTTCTCCAATTCTGTAAATGCAGTTCTGCAGCTTCTGTGCACAGTCGTAATTTCTATATACCTTTTCTAGACACTCCAGTTTATGTTACAAACACCAGTTATCTTCTTCTTCTTCTTAGCGTTCACCAGCTGTACACTCTGGCGGAAAGTTCTGGTTGCTCGTCCCCTACTGAACTGCAGTCCTGCTCCGGAACCTGAGTGTTGCGTGTGCATCAGTTTTATAGATCTCATTCTCTTGAATACAGACTGTTGGTTCCTTGCCTCTCCGGCAGATGCACTCAGACTTCAAAGGAAGCTCCCCAATTAGTCGACTCTTACGACATGCTTTTGGGGAGGCAGTGGGTCTATTCTTGTTTTCCCCACAAGGGGGACACCAGTTGTAATTTCCACTTACATCTTTGCTAGACACTCTAGCCTATTTTACAAACACCAGTTGTAATTTCCACTTATATCTTTGCTAGACACCCCAGCCTACGTTGCAGCCAAGCTACCTAACTATGACGAAGCCACTTCATTGCCCACATATGAGGAAGCAGAGAGGTCAAAGGTTGAAGGGGAGGCAGTTGCTGCCTCAACAGGAACAGCAGTTTTCTTGGAATGTGAAAGTGGCAGAGTAAGTATTTCTGGCAGTTCATAGTCGGCATGTGAATTTGCTGGAAACAAAAAGGTAGCCTGGTATTCAGTTTCATATATCACATTTTTTTTTCTATGATTAATTAAAAACTTTCAGCCTTTGAAGGTTCACAGCTTCTTATATGTTTGCTCTTTAGGGTGGTTGACACATTGTGTTGTAGTTTACAGCTTGGCTGCTATATCTGTGGTTTTCTGCCTGACACATTCAATTTTAGCAAACCACCAATTAGTCCCCTTTTACAACATGCTTTTGGGAAGTAGAAGGTCTTTCATCTCTCCCTCTCAAATGATGCCCCTCCCTGTGTGGGTTCTGGGGCCCCTTTGTGGGGGAAACAAGAATAGACCCACTGCCTCCCCAACTAGCAGGTTTAAGATTTGACAAATTGGGGGCTTCCTTCAAAATCAGTACATCTGCCTGAGAGGCAGGGAACTAACATTCTGTGTAAGGAAAACGTCAGATCTGTAAAACAGATGTGCATGCAACACTCAGGTTCTGGAACAAGACTAAAAGTCTAGAGGTGGATGAACAACCAGAACTTTTCGCTGGAGTTTACAGCCAGTGAACATGAAGAAGAAGAAGAAATTGTGCCTCAGAACCGACACAGGGAGCCTTATTCTCGACTTTTTGTTTCCACTTCTCTTCATAAAGATCTGCCATTATTCTTTGAGATGTATAGGTATGTTTTTATTGCTTTTCTGTATAATTATATAATGAAGTATTAATATAGATGTTGAAATATATATAGCAGTCATCTGGAGTAAGGAGCTCAATTAATCCATACACCATTAAGAACTGAATTAATCCATGTACCATTAATTCTTATAGGGTTAATAGTTTTCAGTTTTCAACAATTTGATCCACACTCCAAACACCTTAGAATATACTGCAGAACTGCCCTCTGCAGCAAAACCTGCAAGAAAACTCATGGCCAGAGGAAAGAGACATCTAGGACAAACTTGGGGAACCTTGAAGGCTTACTGCTGGCATTGCCGGTTCATGGAGGCAACACAACTGATAACCTGAGCATAGGAAAGCAAACGCAAAGAAGATGAAGAAACAACTTGGTTTTCTGAGCAAATTAAGTTTAAGAACCGAGGTTCCATTGTATATAGTCATCTTCTAAAGCAGTGTTTCCAAAATTTTCTTGGTCGCAGCGCCTTTTTTCAATTAAAATTTGTCTACGGCGGCCTAAGCTAAGTAAAAGTATGACTATTGGTGTCTTGGTTAAATTAATTATGAAGCTTTTACATTATTTCGCGGCGCTCCTGTGAAGAGGCTGTGGCTCCCCGGGGCGCAGCGGTGCAGTTTGGGAATCACTGTTCTAAAGTATTATATCGTCAAAAGTACATGCATGTCATCTACATTATGTATACAAGTTTATACATTGTCTGCACTCCTCAGTTAACAAGACCAGATGACATGTCGGACGTTGCCATTGGCTCAGATGGAATGTTTATTTGTACTTTCTTAGGTGAGTGTTGGCTTCTGATTAAACATCACACCATCCCTGATCTCTTTGGTAGTGCAGTCAGATACCTAGTTGTCTCAGACAATAATCATTATGTGCCCTACCATATGTCTTTTGTCAGATCCTTGCATCAACATAGGCATTTATTACTCTATAAATCACAGTCCTTGGAGTTCAGGATCAATCCTTTTGATAAAATTCCTCCATGCTATGTCTTAACCATCTAGTATGATTTCCATTTTTGTGTGTCTCTATCTCTCCCTTCTCTGATCTTTCCAGTTGCCACAATTCAATCCTCATTTCTTTTTGCATTACAAGGAATAATATTTGTCTGTTCTTATTGTTGCAAATAATGTTCTCCTTTGAATCAGAAATGCATTCTTTGAGGAAGAGATATTTAAAAATGTATATTTATATATATAACTTTAGGTGGGAATAAATTTAGCTTATATACTTCTTGTCAGGAAAATTCAAAATGTGTATACTTGTTGGGGTAATTCTTCTTCTTTTCACAAGATGTAAACTCCGGCAGAAAGTTTGAGTTGTTTGTCCATTTCTGGACTTTATAGTCTTTTTAATTTCTCTTTCTTGAGGAAGGAGGTGATTCAAAATGTGTTATATTTTTTCGAATTTGAGGGGTACTGGTTTGGTGGGGTCTATTTAAAAGATTATGTGCATTTTGTTTGCAGTAATTCAAATAAGGTGTGAGCTCTATGTGACATATATGGTGCAACAGGGGGAGATAATAATGTTTAAATTTTTTTAAACGATTTTCATCTCCAGGATTGCAGTCTATAGCATAAACGTCTCAAGGATGAGAATCAAACAGGTACAAATCCCTGAAACCCCATTCAACTGTATAGCTATATAGTAAAAAAGTAAAGGACCCTTTTCTGCCCGTATAGGCAAATAGGGCTAGACCAGGATCGCACCTGGTACCCACTGAAGGCTAGGTTGACCTGGAAGTCAATGGTCATTTAAGGAAAAATGAAAGTTTGGCTCTGCCAGGACCTGAACCCACGACCTTCTGACCCACAGGTGAGCGTGTTTATAGCCATATAGTAGTTACATAGGGGCAACACAAAATTGTTACAAGATAACCTGTAGACCGGTGTGGGTGGGTCTGAAGATGATGATGTTAATCGCGTATTGTTAGTTTCTGTGTGGTAAGTACAGGTAGTAATGACAGGTGCTTTCTGTTTTCAGTCTCGTTCTTGTTCAACTGGCTGGGGTTCCTCTTGTCCCTGTGTCTGTCCAATACGGTGGCTGGCCGATGTGGAGCTATGTCTGGGCTGGGATTGTCCATTGTCAAATGGGTTGCCATTGTCAAGGTATGTAGTCGTAGTTAGAGGTGAACAATGCTCACATGGTGTGGCTCTGTGGTTTAGAACAGAGCTCTTTAACTAGAGGCTGAATCCAGCCCTTTAAAGGCATAGCAAGTGGCTCCCAAAACACTGCCAGTTGTATTGAAATAGTGATCTTTCTCTACTAGAGTTCGAACCTCTGGCCCATAACCATCCCAATTTTCAACATTTTGGCCCCTGATTGAACTGAGTTGAATAGTCCTGACTCAGTTTCATGATCTTCTGTGCATTCAGGAATTGATTCCGGCGGGGATGGGTTGTTAGAAACAAAAGACCCATTTCAGATATTGGGGCCAGAGTCACACTGTGGTAGGCAATGGGACCGCATCAGAAGCATGTTTTAAAAGGTGATTTATAAAGTAAGTTAACGGACCTTTTTCAACACCTTTGGAATGGAGCATATAGGGCTAGACCTATATTTTATAGACAGTCGGCACTCGATGGGTGATGCGTCATGCCAGCCACCTTTGCTTCCCATGACCTTACATGGTGCCCATTTAAGGCTGTATTGACCTGGGAGCCACTGTCGTTTTTGAAAACAAATTCAGGCTCCGTCAGGTCCTGAACCCACAACCTTTGGATCCGCAGGCGAACATGTAGCCACTACACCACGACGACTGACTAATTGATAAAGAGTTTGCTGAAATAAAATGTTGGCCTGAAAGGTTCGCCTATTGCAGCCTAGCTGTAGACCCAAAATAAAACATTCTGATCACCTTTTTTAAGGGCAAACATACAAGTACCACCAGTGACATTGTAATAAGGACTTTTTTACCCTAGACATGTTGGTACTCATCACACAGTTCTGGAAAAAGGTATCAGTGCTCACCACAAAGTACCAGCACTCACCACATAGTACCAGTACTTACCACAAAGTACCAGTGCTCACCACATAGTACCAGTGCTCACCACAAAGTACTAGTGCTCACCACATAGTACCAGTGCTCACCACAAAGTACCAGTACTCGCCACATAGTACCAGTACTCACCACAAAGTACCAGTACTCGCCACATAGTACCAGTACTCACCACAAAGTACCAGTACTCACCACATAGTACCAGTACTCATCACAAAGTACCAGTACTCACCACAAAGTACCAGTACTCACCACAAAGTACTGTGTACCATAAGAGGCCACTGTGGTGTAGCTGCTCGACGCTTATCTGTGGATCTGAATTTTGAGAGTTCAAATTCACACAGTGTTGGATTTTTTCTCCCAGCTTGACCCAGCCTTAAATGGGTACCAGGTAAAGTCCTGGGAAGCAAAGGTAGCTGGCAGGATGTTGACCACGTCGCCCACCGAGTGCCGGTTGGTCTATAAAAAATACGAGTGTAACCTCAAATGCTGATGCCCAACTGATGTGTAAAGGGACACATTAGTGTGAACCATTGCACATCACCAGACCAAAAAAAAACCTGGTTGTAATTGCAAGATGGTTAAATGTAAATGGAGATTATATTGTTTTCAAAAGTTCGATATTTTGGTTCCTATTTCCCAGCACAACAAATGGGACAGTCTGGTGGCTGAAGCAGACTCCTGGCTGTGGTGGCTCTTGGCCATATGTGGTAAGTTTTTCTGTCCTTCCTCTAACCACCTCAGCAGAGTATTGGAGGCACATGCAAGGATGTATACTTTATTCTTCTTCTTTGTTTGCCCTTTATGGATGGATGGATTAAAAAATGCCAACCTGTACTGATTTGCTTTTGTACATTGTATGTTGTTTTCTCTATCCATTCTTTTTCAACTAGATTAAGTGGTAAGTCAGTAAAATTAAAAGGACTCTTGTACATCATTGGTGTATCAGGGCAAATGATGCTAAACCCACATTTGTATAATCCAGCTGGTACTCGGTGGATACTATGTTTATCAGTCATTACAGATACTGTGTTTATCATTCATTACAGATACTGTGTTTATCAGTTATTACAAATACTATGTTTATCAGTCATTACAAATACTGTGTTTATCAGTTATTACAAATACTATGTTTATCAGTCATTACAATTACTATGTTTATCATTCATTACAGATACTTATGTTCATCAGTCATTAAAGATACTTATGTTCGTCAGTCATTAAAGATACTATGTTTATCAGTCATTACAAATACTATGTTTATCAGTCATTACAAATACTATGTTTATCAGTCATTACAAATACTGTGTTTATCAGTCATTACAAATACTATGTTTATCATTCATTACAGATACTTATGTTCATCAGTCATTAAAGATACTTATGTTTATCAGTCATTAAAGATACTATGTTTATCAGTCATTACAAATACTATGAATATCAGTCATTACAAATACTATGTTTATCAGTCATTACAAATACTATGTTTATCAGTCATTACAGATACTATGTTTATCAGTCATTACAGTCTGAATATGGTGCAGCAGCGAGCGACCTGGGGATCAGGCTGACACTTAACTCTCCACCCAGGGAACACTGCAACAGACGGGTCATGACCCCATTAGAATTCCAGAAAAGAATTCTTTGAAGAAAAGGAAACAGTTTTACACTGGTCAATAATACATTTGTATTACTATTTTTAGTTAATATATTCATATCCTGACTTCCTAAACATTTGCACAGGTGCGAAAACAGCCAACAGCATTACCTAAATGATAAAACAGGTCACTTATAGACAAGCTGGTGAAGTGACATTTACGGTGAATTGGACCTAATCCAAAGCGTCAGTTTTGAATCTTCTCTGGGCTAAAGAATTAAGATTCGGAACAAACTCTGTTTTTGAAGTGTTGAGATTTGGGCAGACAGATCCATTTTACATTCTGCCCTTCTGGCCTCTCCATGCATACATTCAGAAGAAATGCAAGAAATATATGATCAGAAGTGAAACTCTTCGCTAGCTGCTGAAGATGGGCATGTAACTTGTATGGGAATGTGCCAAATATTGTGATCCTGGTGTTAACTCAGCTGTGATGAACATCATCGTGCTGACCAACTCTGCTTCCCATATTTCCAGAAGCCCCTTTTATATGGCTAGAGGCCTTACCTTGCCATGTTTTGTGGGGGGGAAAAATCATTATGTTTAAACATCATCCCCGAAGGGGGAGCTTTTGGTTATTGGTTATAATTGTGACTTTGGTTTTGTGCGCCATATAAATAAAATAAAATAACATTGTTCGCCATATTGGTAAAAAAAAGCAGCTAATTAGGAGGTTTTCCATGGAAGTTTGAGTGTGTCTGCATGTGTGGCAGGGAACCATTAGTTTGCATACCAATTTTTGTTTTTAAAAGCCAGATCTATAAAATGGAAATACACATAAAACTCAAGTTCTGGATCAAGACTAAAGTCCAGAAGTGGACGAAGATCTGGACCTTGTAGTTTACAGCCAGTGAGCGTGAAGAAGAAAAAGATGTGGACAGTCAGTATTTTATGGGTTATGAAAAGGAAGAGACTTGAATAAATTAGTGACACTTGGCAAGATTGAAGGGGAAAAAACACACATGAAGACAAATATCTGCATTATTTAATCACATGTATGTAGTGGGTCCAGAGCACTGCCAGTGATCATGTGAGATGGCAAAATATGACATCACTCATGTTTAGTGTCAGACCTTTCATAACAACCCCAGTGTCCACCAGATAAGCTGCATGCTCATTGCCTTGAACACCATAATAAAATACTATAGGAAATAAATAACAGCAACACAGTTGAGTTCTGATTTCTGAGTTTAGCAGCTTCCATAAGAAAGCTTACCATGCAGTTGAGTTCTTTGACTATATTGGTTACAACCACTTATTTCCTTGGGTACCGTAAGCCTGCTAGAATTTGAGGGTTGGAGAGATCAGAGCGTATACTAACAGACCTGGAAGGAATAAACCAGTCAACAAATGAAGAAGAAGTCAGATTTGTCAGCCAAGAAATGCAAAGATAAGAATGGTCGGTTGAAAAACCCTCATGCTAAATCTTTCTGTCTGTATATATGTTCAGTTGATTTGATTTCAGCTACGCTGTATGAAGCCTTTCTATCTACTCTCTCTAAAGACTTGTTCCCTGTGTAGACAATATGGCCTTAAAAGAAATTCAACCCTTGGGAGTTAAAACATGTAGTGTCATCAGGTGCCTCTTACCATGACCTTTATCACTGAGACTTACAGGAACATTTGCCATCAGCTTGCTGTAAAAAAGCCATCAGGGCATAAGGAACCCCCGGGGCATGCTATTTTTTTGGGGTTACTATATTCTTCTTGTTCTTCTTTGCGTTCACCAGCTGTTAACTCTAGCAGAAAGTTCTGGTTGTTCGTCCACTTCTGGACTGCAGTCCTGGTCCAGAACTTGAGTGTTGCATGTGCATCCGTTTGACAGATCTGACTTATTAGTATGCAGACTGTTGGTTCCTTGCCTCTCGGGCAGATGCACTCCGACTTTGACGACATGCTTTTGGGTAGGCAGTGGGTCTGTTCTTGTTTTCCCTATAACAGGGCCCCAGAACCCACATGGGGAGGTTACTCTATTCATATCCTGGCCTGTAAAACAGGGCCACTGAAGTTCAACTACTCTTATATTCAACATTTATGGGACTGTGGCACAACCAGAAGTGATTAGTCTTCTCGACAGGGTTGAGGATGAACATAGGAGAAGTCATGGAACCAAAAAGTCCTAGAGACCTTAGAGATTTGGTTTTACTGAAGAATTCAACCAAAATGAGTAGGTAAATGTTTTGGGAGAGGCTAAGATGTGAAAAGAAAAAGGTAGTCATCATTTTCTGGCCACAGAAAACAAGAAAACTTTCAGCTTGTCACAGCAAAAAGAAAGAGATAATGGACAACAATGAATCACCGCTTAAGGTGATTTCAGGTATAGCAAATCTATGTTGTGAAGAACAATTTGTGTTTACCTGGCAATTTTTTTCTTGCTTGAATTCTTATCTGGATAAGAGAATTTTTGATCAGAAGAACCATGTCTTGTGTCCTCGGTGAGTTCCTCATTATCAGGTCTGCACTGTATTGTGTGTAAAGTGTGACTTGATTGGCAATGTGGCCAATATATTATGTCTCTCAATTCTGCTTTCTAAGATATTACCCTGCAAAACTCTCACAAATCTTTGAGAGAATAATAGTTGCAGGATGTTGCAGAACCAACCTCAACAGCCCCTGGCTATTGTGTGGTTTCTCTAGGCAATGTACGTTCAGTAGTTTGCCATTGCTTTCTGGACGGTCCGCTTTCTTGACACCACTGTCGAAACCAACGCTAGGCCCATGGCCCGCAGCTGGGATCGAACCCGGCATTACGAAGCGTTCGCATTGACATTTAAGAAAGAAGTCAAGTGCACCAGGCTCTGGTTTGGGAGACCTCCCTTTTGAATTCTAAGTCAGGTGAAAATGTTTTCTGTCTAGCAAAAGGGAGCCCAATGTTTTCTGTCTAGCACAAGGGAGCCCAATGTTTTCTGTCTAGCAAAAGGGAGCCCAATTAAATTTAAAAAAAAGTTTTTTTAACATGAATAGTTTTTTTGCGACAGCAATGGCCTAAATCCACAGATTCACGTGGGTCCCCGTCCTCTTTACATGTCTTAAGAAGTGGTAAATATAGACAATAAAAACAGATGAAAGGAACCACACAAAAAGACAATAAAATATAAATTGTTTTTATTTTTTAAGCGTTACGTAAGTTAACTCCATTTTAAAATAGTGCACATATTTCAAAAGAGTGCACACTTCAGAAAATGTATACAAACAAGTTACACAAATTGAGAGCATCAAAATAAGAAAATCAACATAACTGCATCAGTACAATGAAATCAGGTTATAATACAATATGAATTAAAGAAAAGTAAATAAATAAGATGAATGTCTGAACAATGGACCATATCATCAGGTATAAGACAAAGATGGCAATATGTTGGGCAAATCATGAAAAGAAACAGACAAAGAATCAGGCACTGAAATAGAAAACAAATGAATTGGGGAAGCCCAAGAGAAACCATTAATGGAAACAGTGCTGAGAGAGGTCAAAGATGCTAAAATGGTTGACCAGAAGACCATGAGCCCCACGTGACATATAATGGCAAAACAGGACAAAGATGAGGAATCAAGTCATAAAACAATGTCATCAAGTAGCAGTGTCCATCTGTAGGTGCATTCATGGAGGCAAAAATAGTGCAAGAGTATAAAACCCAGAAATGATCCAAGTTCTTCGCACTGCCCCATAAAATAACACAAGTATTTGGAAGCCAGCGTATGAATAAAATACTGTCCGTCTGCAAACTGTAACCAGTAACAAGGGTTGGTTTAAAAAAAAAAAATTTGAGGTAAACATTTGCCGTTGCATCACAATGAATTGTTAGCAAGTTCAACATCACATTCATCTGCCATCATCCTCACAGTCAGTCAAACACTGGTCCTCGTGTATCCCTTCAATGACTCTGGCAATGAGTTCATCATTACAAACAGAAACTGGATGTCCGGACCCTGCTTCACCTCGAATCTTTTCCACACTAACTGTGAATACCACCTCATGTACAAGATAAATGCTGATCCTCATAAACCAGTGGTTTCACAAACTATTCTTAGTTGCTGCGCCTTTTTTTTAAATTACATTTTTTTCCACGTGCCCTAACCTAAGTAAAAGTATGAAAATTTGTATCTGAGAGATAAAAAAAAAAAAAAAAACTTGTGTATCTTTCAAATAATTCGCAGCGCCCCTGTAAAGAGGTCGCGGCTTCCCAGGGCGCCCAGTTTGGGAATTACTGTCATAAAGTAATCTCATCAAATCAAGGGTCTCAAGAGCACCTTTCATATTAAAGTTCACCCTTGGCTCCATGCTGCATACGTAACAACACAACTTTCACTAGCTAAACAACATGGCGGATTACTTCTAGTCTGCTGAGCAGGCAGCATTACAATCTTGCCAGATCACAGATTTATTGTGTCTGTTGAGTAACATGCTTTGCTTCATGGATGACATTTTTGTTGTGGCCAAAATAAAATAAGCATCACCATTTAATTGTCAGACTGTGCATAAATATCAGCAAATATTGTAACAAATCTGTATACATTGTATATAATTATATGTAATGCATACTGTTCACAGTGTATCTCTATATGTTCATATTGTATCTTTTTTTCAGTTCATATGTATCTGTTCATGTTTCCTGCATCTGTTTATATTTCATTTGCATCTTTTATGTTCTTTAATTCGGCATCTGTGGCTTAGGCGCTGTGAATGTGCTTTGTGGCGCCAGGGTGCCGGGTTCGATCAAAGCTGCGAACGGTTTGTGGTTGGTTTTGTCAATGGTACCGAGAGGTGACCGTTCAGTAAGCAAATGGCAAACTACTGAAGGTGAAATCTGCCTAGTAAAACCACAACAGCCAAAAAATGCTGGGGTTGGTTCTGCAAAGGATACGCAACTAACTTATAGTATATAAAGTATATGTATCTGTTTATTTGCTATCTGCATTTGTACACATAGAATTTGTTTCTGTTCTTACTCTGACCACATGTATGTGTATGATCTGTATATGTACATATGTCATGAGTTTCCGTTCTCACCGATTGTTAAGTCATATGAACCCATTTACAATGTATGCTTCCTCTGTATCTGCTCATAAGTCATCTGTTAATAATATACCTGTATGTTGTTCATTCACATGTAACAAATGCTGCCATACATTTTAACGATTCTTTTTCTTATAAATTTTGATTTACTTAAAAAGAAAATGTCTGTTAAAATCTCTGATACAACATCCAGCGAATGTTTATACAGCTACTGCAATAACCTGTTCATATTTGCTGCATCATCTCTACAAAAACACAGCAAGCAGTGGAAGACAGCAGGGCTCGATACAAAGTTACTTCCGCGTGCAAGGCCAGTCCAAGCCCCCACAAGCAGCAGATATTATGAAGTAAAGCACAAGCTGGAAAAGAAAGAAGAAAATATCCACCGTAATCAGCAAAATGAAGAAAGTTAAAGAGAACTCATCAGTTTTAAAGGTTTTCCTCGTTTTCTACTCAGGGAACCTATTACTATGATCAGGTAATCAGGTATTCATAGTTTCAACTTCACAACAAATGGGTCATCCAATGGTTGCCATGTTTCTGTGCCAACAAAAACCAGACAGAATGCCAACCACTGTAAAAGGACCTTTTCCCACAGCTTAAGGCGTATTGGGCATATAGGGTTAGGCCTATACTTTATAGACCAATCAGCACTCTGTGGTTGATGTGGTCAACATCACGCCAGCTTCCTTCTCAGGGTTATATCTGGTACCCACACAAGGCTCAGTCGACCTGGAAGCCAAGGTCATTTTAAAAAAAGGCCAGCTCCCTCAAGACCTGAACAAACGTCCCTCCAATCCGCAGGCTAGTGTGTCAATCATTGTAGCTGGTGGAAAAATTCACACAGACTGCAGTCTCAGAAAACCCAGCAGCATCAATATGCATTAAATGCATAAGGCAATGCCAGAATTGCTTACGCAAACAGTCAATACCAGAAATGCAGTTCATCATCAATAGAAGCAGCAGTGCACACGTGGTTATTCAAATAAGGCACCTCCCCCCGTGTGGGTTCCGGGGCCCCATTGTGGGGAAAACAAGAATAGACCCACTGCCTACACAAAAGCATGTTGTAAGAGTCGACTAATTTGAAGTCAGAGTGCATCTGCCGGAGAGGCAAGGAACCAACAGTCTGTATTCGAGAGAATGAGATCTGTAAAACTGATGCACACGCAACACTCAGGTTCTGGAGCAGAACTGCAGTTCAGTAGTGGACGAGCAACCAAAAATTTCAGCCAGAGTGTACAGCTGGTGAACGTGAAGAAGAAGAAGAAGAAGAAATAAGGCACCACCAGTTCTCTGGCAAAAGCCACTGATCATTTTCTGAATTTACAGTTCATAACATAAACCAAACTTGGCACAGTCGAAAAGCATTTCAAATCCGCATCTCACAGTGTCATGCCATTGCACTCAAGTAGCTGGGCGATGGAACTATATCCTTTCAGTCTACACATGGAGGAAATCAACGGCCAACGATTGTCAAAAGCAAAAACTTGTCACGTCTAAAAACAGTAACCGTGCCTATTCTCCATACTGACCAGAAATCCAGACTAGTTTCTGTGATGACCACACAAAGATGGAGACATGTCTTGACCAGTGTCAGCTCAGGTCTTGGTGCATCATAACAGATGATAATGCACCTCTACATCCTAAAAAACTGGTAAAACCTGAAAAACAGTGTCTTGAAAATTACCCGGTGCCAGAGCGTGACCCATCTTCTTGTGTCATCTCACTGTTACCAGGCTGCAGTCCAGTGTTGGTGGTTTTCCCTCGTCTTGCGCTTCTCGGGTGGCAGATCTGTTGATCTTTTTGCAGGTTTCTTGTGTAGTAGAGGTTTATTATACCCCTGCTAGCTTACTAGGCCTGTCAGGTGGTGGGGCAAGGAAAAAACTGACCTTGGTTGGTGTCTATCCTCTCTCAGGCCAGCCACTGCCCTGTTAGCATGAAACCTCATGGCTTCAGTTTTCCAGGCTGCACCACAACACAAGGAGGTGGGGGTGACCTGGGTGCTCTACGGGTCGCTAAAGGGCTACTTAATTTTCCTTTTCACCTCTCTGAAGAAAAGCTAGCCAACTTTAATACTGCTGACTTCAGTGCCAAATGCTTGAGCACACCCTTGGGCCAGACATACATACAGCAGAGATTATTTGCTAAAAAGAGAAAATAAATTACAAGAAAACAATTAAAAATTCACTTACTATGATAACAACGGCAAGTATGGCCATCAGTTTAACATTTTTCCACCATAATGATCTGGCCAGATTTCTACTTGTTTTCTTGAAAGTAACCGCCTTGATAAAAAATAAAATGGATTCGCGTAAATAGGCAAACATTTTACACATGTATATGCTTACAGAAAGATATTTTAACATCATTTCAACTAGCAATTTGTCAGGTCGCAGGATTTTAACCTCTTAAATTCTGATCTCTTCCCCTATCCTGGCGCTCTGGGTATCTTCCTGTCCACTGTCTATTTATGGGTCAGCGAGGCCAACGATAGCAGCTTTAGTAGGTGTCCCATATGTGTGGATATCTAGACAGGTAGTGGTCTTCAGCCTAAAAAGCTAAGTTATTCTACGCACTCTCCTCATGTGGGTTCCGGGGCTCCATTGTGAGGAAAAGAGGATTAAACCCACTGCCTCCCCAACAAGCGTGTCACAAGAGTCGACTAATTGGGTGCTTCCTTTAAAGTCAGACTGTGTCTGCCTGAGAGGCAAGGAACCAAAATGCGGTATACAAATAAGTCAGATCTGTAAAACAGATGTGCACACAACACCCAGGTTCTGGAACAAGACTACAAGAGACGAATGAAAAATCAAAACTTTGCTGCCGGAATTTACAGCCGGTGAACGCGAAGAAGAAGATGTGCAGTCTCTAAGTTGTTGTACCACTGTCCCCATTGGGGGAGGGGGCAGACCCGCAACTCTTTAACATCACCATCAAGTACCTTTCCGACTAGCGTGGGCGATCATGCCCCTCTACAATTTGCAACTGCGTGTTTCAGTTCATATGTTGACATCCCTCCATGCCACGACAAAATGACTTCAAGAATCTTCTTGCGCTGTCTTCCTTTGTCTCTTTTTCCACAAATCTTTCCAGTGGTCACAACATGTTTCATTTTTCCTCTTATCCTAACATAACCAAAAAATGATGACTGTCTCTTTCTGATGTTTGTAATAAGTTGTCTTTGAGCACCTGCCTCTTTCAAAACATCTGGGCTACTCTTCTTATCTTCATCTTCTGTAACTAGCTTGTGTTAACAAGTGACTACTAATTAGGGATTTGTCTAAACTGAATGTGTTGGGCTGTAAAGATGCAGATCACGCAGCTTAACTTTAAACTACAAGACATGTCAACCGCCCTATACAGGGAGAATGCAGAAGAAGAAGAAGAATCAGATGCAAATATTTCATTCTACTTAACTTTTTGTACTCACATTTGCACTCAGATCCTCAGTTTTATCCACAAGTAACTCTAGCTTCTCTCCCCGTTCAGCCAAATGATCTGAAACAATTGTGTTATGTCAATGAAAGAGAGAACAAGAATGGCTAAATTAACATTCAACAATAAGAAACAAACCCTTACACCTACACAGCTAAGTTATAAACTAAACCCTTATGTGGGTTCCAGGGCCCCATTGAGGAAAAAACTAGAAAAGACCCACTGCCTACCCAAAAGCATGTCCTATGAGTCCACTAATTGGGAGCTTTCGTTAAAGTTCATCTACCTGAGAGGGAAGGAACCAACTGTCTGTGTACAAATTAGTCAAATTCGTAAAACAGATTTGCATACAACACTCAGCTTCTGGAACAGGATTAGAGTCAAGAAGTGGATGAACAACCAGAACTTTCCGTCATTTACAGCCAATGAATGCGAAGAAGAGGAGGAGACTTTCCTGCTGTCTTCCAGAACCCTATTTTCAGGGGTGGAGAATGAAAGAACATCGAATGAACAAACAAACTTTATTTTCAATGGGTTAAGAACAGACTATTGCCCCGTAGAAAGCATGATGTAAAAGCAACAAATTAAGGGGTTGCTGAAATTGGAAGTGCTAGGTTAAAAGGCACAAATATAACTAGGGCTGTACCGAATAGTGGTTTTCACTATTCGGCCGAATACGAATAGTGGGACCAACTATTCGGCCAAATACGAATAGTGTATCATCATCATCAGGTGCCTCGCCAACTGGTGTGGCGATTTTGCCTCGCCACATCTGCGATCTCCTGCAGCATGTATCAGTTTGTGTGCTGACACACCTCCATGACATGCAACGACTGTCAAGAATCTTCTCTCGTTGTCTTTTTCTATCCCTCCTTCCACAAATCTTTCCAGTGGTCACCACATGTTCCATTTTCACTCTTTCTATATGATGACTGTCTTCTTCTGATGTCTGCGATTAGTTGTCTTCGGGCTCCCGCCTCTTTCAAACCCTAGTGGTTGCTTTTTTTAAGCTGTCCAATGTATTTTAAGCATTGTTCTGTAAAACCACATCTCTGAGGCCTCAAAAAATTGTTTGGCCTGGCTACCGATTGTCCAGGACTCATAGCCATATGTTAAAACTGGATGTATGCAGCAAGCAAGATAACAATATATTGCACAAGATGTTCTTTTTTATTAAAATATAAAAAGCATTTTTAGCCTGTCCTATTTTGTTTTTTATTTTAGTAATGCATCTTTCATCTGATTTTATCCATGTGCCAAATTCGCATTTAAATCATTTTTCGTTCAGGCGTTCGTTCAATGTAATTCAAATGCACCTTCATATTCTCGTTTGCAATATCTTCAATTTGATTTAGGAAAAGACACCCCGAAAGAACAAAAAAAAATGCATGCTTTCTCTTTGTCTCTCTCTCTCTCTCTCACACACACACACACACTTTCAAGTTTCTTCATGCCTTCTTTAACACAACAGTAGCGATGCCTAAATCTTTCGTAGCGGGAAAAACGGCGACCCGTTTGCGTGGTAACAGCGCCGGACTCCGAGGCATTACAGCAGAGGTTCTAAAACTGGGTGCGTATGACAGGGGTGCCGCGGCGAAAATCAAGAAAAGTCGGCTATAAATTGTGACATTATTAATGAGAGAGTTATTTTAGTCCATCGCAGTGTATGCAGAAATCACTATTCGTATTCGGCCCGACCGCCACTATTCGGCCGAATACCGAATAGCTAGTAGGTCCACTATTCGGCCCCGAAGCGAATATTCGGTACAGCCCTAAATATAACCAATCTGTAAAAAACAATTCAACATGCCAGCTACCCTTTTATAGACGAACAGAGAAAAAAAAAAGTTTAACTAATTATGACCAAGTCTACAAGTGTTGTTGAGAGATATGCTCCATTGGGAGATGTAGGACAAAAAAAAGGACACCCTCTATTGCAAGGACCAAAATGTTAGAAAATAAGGATCTTCATGGGCCAGAGGCTCTAACCTCAGCGAAGAAAGATCATGAAATCAATACAATGAGCACGTGATTTGCAGGTCAGCACATGATCCGCAGGCTGCTATTTGAAAAGCCTTGGTCTACTGGCTCATGAGAACTATGATAAGTATGCCCCAAAGAGTAATTTGATATAATGCTAAAGCTCATATTAATTTCAATATTGCCAATACTACTGATCATAACCAGCTCCAGATATAGGGCCCTACAGCTCAAACATAATTTCCAGTTTTTGTGAGGCTGGCGTGGCCGGTCGGTGGTAACAATTGTTCTCGAGTAGATTTATACACAAACTGAACTACAGTTTAATTAATTTGCAACATGTGTTATTGAATTAATTAATTTTTTAAAGATAAATAAATGGGCTTTTAGAAAATATTTATCTTCATAGTGATAATTTCAGTACCTGGAGCTGACAATACATTCACTTTGGATTTTCTTAAGCATGCTAAGTGAGTCTGTCACAATCAATGCGTCGATTGCATTCTGTTCCACTAGCTATGCTAAAGCAAAGAAGAAGTCAAATACCTATATTCCGCACCATGATGCTTTTCAGTTCTTCAACTTGATCTTGAACTTTTGCCACCTGGTCTGGTCTATCTTCAGAAATACTTCTCTGCAGAAGGAGAAGGTAATACTGTGAAGCAATCAAGAAAACAAAACTGTGCCCTCTCCACAACGGGAGCCGCTGTGATGTAGCGGCTAGATACTCGTCTGCAGATCTTAAATGTGGACCAGGTAAAGTCCTGGGAAGTAAAGGTGGCTGGCACGATGGTGACCACATCACCCACTGAGTGCCAATTGGTCTATAAAATATGGGTCAAGGCCCCCCCTCCCCCAAGTGTGGATTTCGGGGCCCTGTTGAAGGAAAAACAAGAATAGACCCACTGCCTACACAAAAGCATGTCGTAAGAGTCGACTAATTGGGAGCTTTCTTCAAGTCGGAGTGCATCTGCCTGAGAGGCAAGGAACCAGAAGCCTGCATACAGATGAGATAAATCTGTAAAACGGACGCACACGCAACACTCAGGTTCTGGAACAGAAGTGGATGAACAACCAGAACTTTCCGCCAGAGTTTACAGCTGGTGAATGTGAAGAAGAAGAAGATAAGTCAAGCCCTATATGGCCAACACACCTGAAGGCATGGAAAAGGGTCCTTTACTTTTACTCCACAACAGAGGTTGGCTACACTGTATTGACTACTCACTATAATAACATTCCATAGTGAGGTCTCAGTCTCTTCCACTGTGCGACTGTCATACCAGTGAATGAAAGCCATGAAAACTGTCCTTTTTCTAAACCACCCACTGTGCAAATGAAACCCTGGTAAATGTCTAGGACTTCGTTGTGAACAATTTCAGAGACCTCTAAACCACAGTTAAGCCACACAACTATGTTCAATTCAAATGAAGATGACGAAACCTTACTGCAAGTCTTGAGATAAATCTCCGGACCCATCAAAGATGACAATAATGGAGCATTTTTAACTGAGAAACAACAACCAAATTTTAAAAATGTCTGTCAAAGTCATCGTTAATTACTGGTATCACAAGGGCTAACAAACTGCAATGGTTGGGGCTCATAAAAGAGAAAACGGCATATAGCAGAGAAAAAAATAGTTAGTTAGTTGGGAAATGATCATTGCACTCCAGACCTATCCACAGGTGCTTAGATCCATCCCTCAACATGAACCTCAGCGTCCTGTGACTAATAGTGCCAGTTGATAAGTCTTTTTGTATGCCTGGTGAGTCTTTCGCTTTTGGCTATGCCCATCTTTACTTCCAAGTCTTTCATTCTGGTGAGCAATGAGGAATAATGTTTTGAAAGTCCACCACCTTTCCCACTTCTCTCATTAATATTATCAGCATGATCCACGAGTTGACCTTCAGCAGTGATAGCGGATCCAGCCAACTTATCAGCCCTTTAGTTTGCATCTACGCCCACGTATCCTGGAACGAAGATAAAGACGACATTACGCACAGTGGACTTCTGTAATGGCTCAATCCCCTGCCTTCGCACAGAAGCTGCCTAGATCTTTCGGATCATGCTCATGGAATCACTAAGTACACATGCATGGAGTATGGTCTTGTGCTCTTGACCATGTGAATGCTTGCGTTACCGACATCACCTCCATCGTCATGCTGCTTGTTGTCAAGGAGAAATCATCGCTGGCTTCTTTGATTGTTCTGACTGCTAAGAACGCCAATGCACTTCTTTGTTGTCATATAACAGATCCGTCTGTGCAGATCAGTACATCTGCTTCGTCTGAGTTATCGCTGATGAAAACGTTGACCTCTGCACTGACCACAACAGCAGTCTGCTCCCTGCATCTTCTGTCAAGTGTGACCACAAGACAGACCAAGAAAACAGTGTAGAGATAATATAGGCAAATCTACAAACAACCAACTGGAAACAAAAGGCCAATCTTGGAGACAAATGGAAGTGGCGACAACTGCGGAAATGAACCTCAAGGGCTCAGAATGCAGAATAATAATAATTATAAGACAAAGAAGGAGAGCATGATGATACAATAGGGACTATTTTCATCAAAAAGTGTGTATGTGCACATACACAGAGTTTGTAATTAGACAACTTTCACAACAAGCCTTTGTAAACAAGATAAATCAAAGAATAACCAATATTAATGCCTTCACTAACCATTTGAGATGCCATAATCCGAGAAAAGTCGCTGTTCATGGCATAGGGTAAAGCTGTCTGTGCCCTCACCCCATACTGTGCCTGAAATCTGAACGAACAAAAAAAGAAAATCTGAAACATGAAGAAAATATTGTCAAACTACCAACATAATTCTTCTTCTGACCTTTAGCCAAAAATGGAGCATAGGCCCTCAACCAACTCATGCCAAGTTGTCTAATCTGTTGCTATTACAAGTTGGGTCACCCGTAGGTCCTCCTCATCAATTTCATTTCACTTTGAAATTCCCTTTTTTAGATAACTTTAGTCTATTTTTTGTCCTGTGACCTTGGGGTTTCCATTTCAGGAATATTCTATATATACTGTTGTCAGGTTTTCTCACTGTGTGTCATAACCAGCACCAGCTTTTTTTCCTCACCTCCTGAATCACTGGAACTGGTTTAGTTTTCTCCCATACCTCTACATTAGTGAGTCAACCAACTTATGTTGCTTTCTCTTTAGGCCCTAAGAGAATTTATTTCATTTTATGTGTCCCTGTTTAATGCGTTCGTGTATACTGATTACATATCTTTATATATCCAAACAAACAATCAAAAAATGTTATGCGGATAAATAAATGTGAATAAAATAATTAATGACCTGTGTAAAAAGCTTTTTATAAGATTTTTTCTGGGAATTCCCAGAGGTTTAAGACCCATTTTTAAAATAGCATTTACAGAGTGAAAGGGATGAAGACAGCGTAAGGGTAAAAAAAAAAGGTAAAGTTGGGAGATGTGAACCAGCGTTATTGCACACTGTTATAAACCATAAGTGCTCTGCTACCAGTACTAACAGCTGATAAGAAACTGTAAGCCTGTTTCACCGTCTGCACGAAACTCCGTAGCTACAGCGATGTTCCTCCATTTACTCCAGAGTGTTAACTCTGGTACCCATTTCCTAGAGGCTGGGTGAACCCCGGGAACCACCTGGTTTTGAATGCCGGCCGTGGGCTGCAGCGAGTTGCAGCTGGATTTGAAAGCGAGTCTCCTATCGACTGCACTAACACGGCCCCTAAAGAAGACAGTGTTCATTTACATGGAATAACAAGAGCCAGTGCCACCCACTGATTGCTACACCATCATCTCTTTATCTCCACAACACTTGACTGCAATAGTAGAAGATGATGGCAATGAACAAGCATAGAAAACAAACAACAACAAATGTAGCAAACATCTTTGCCTTTTCTTACCTTCGTTTAATTTCATTCAGAAACAGGAATGCTTTTGACCTTTCAAATTCCTTCAAGAAATAAAAAAGCATTAAAGCTATATTAAAAGCATGTCCATGACAAGAAACGAAACAAAATTATGCTAGTTAAATTGAGACAGTTTAAATAAATTTAAAAAAAATAGCTGCATAGCTTTAACAAGACTAAACCAACCCTAAAATGTTATAGCTGTTTGTGGGTTTACCACAAAATTGTATGTTCTGTAATGAATCTTGCTCCAATTATCCTATCCCACACATTTTATGTGTCACTTTTTTAAGAACAAGCAAATAAAGCAATGCAGTTAAAAGTTTCTCAGGGATTAGTAACACATGAAAAATGCTCAAATTCTGCTACATAATTTTTAAATAGTAATTCAGTTGAAACCACCATCTTCTTCTATTTCTGCTTTCATTATTTAAAGGATGGTTGGCATAATGTGCTGGGGTTTTACAATTAGGCTGCAATATCTTTGTCAGTCGTTAGTCAGGGTTCAACTATCACTGCATACTAACTGCTTCGTTCCTGTGCCAGTGGAAACAACATAAAATGTCATTCACTGTCCCATTTTAAAACTAGCAAAAAACGTGTCAGTACCAGCACAAATCTTGAAGCTTGCACACACACACATAGTAAAAATGCTTAAGGAATCTGTCAGATGTGCCAACACTAATGGTACCAGACCAGAATTGCAGCTCATTAGTAAGTTAGTCTACAGATTGTCCTCATTGCATGTCGAACCACTCAGTCCATAAGTGCTCGGATCCACTCCTCAGTATATCCCACAGTGTGTAGTGGCTTATGACACCAGTTCTGTGTTGGTTTATTCTTCTTCTTTGGCTACCCGCATAGTGTTCTTGTTTGGCGACACCCCGTTTAACTTACTGCTCTTGCAGTATGACCATGGTTGCAGATTCACAGTTCTCAGCTGGTTCACTCAAAAGTCTTGAATCTCGTAGAGCATTCAGTACATCAGCTTGGCCAATGGCTTGTCCGGCTTTCACAGTAGCCTTTCCTGCAAGTCTATCCGCTTGCTCATTTCCTTGTACCCCCACATGTCCTGGCATAAAAATGAAACTAATCCTTGTCAGCTCACTGTTGGTGCAAACTCAATCATTAAAGCCAGCAATGCACCTGCAAAACACTCTTCTCAAAGTAATCGGCCACCCACCATTTTAGTGCAGTCAACAACACGCTATGAGCACAACGGAAAAAAACACACATGTGACGTTAAATCCACAGCTCACAGTGTTGCACCAAGCACTCAACTTAATAGCTGGGAACTCCCTGTCCAGAAATAGGGAGTTTGCATCAGTAAAACCAAGCTGGAAACAAATAACTTTTCAGAGCACCAGCTTTCAGCCGGCTATTGGCCATAAGGCCATTAGGCTGCAATATCTGCGCCATTCAACCCCATATAATAAGACACAGCCCCCAAAAAAACCTTCATCAGTTGTTATTTTTAAAGACAAGCTTTTTAAGGGGCAGTGGACTTGTTCTTTTTGCCCCCAAAATGAGGTGGCAGTAACCCACTAGGGGGATTCAGTTTACATAACGGCACTGGTAAATGTGAGATAATGGTTGCAAAGGGAGTAAAAAAACTTACATCATCTGTAATACACAGGTAGATAATCTTGTCTTCAGATATATAATGGAACAAGTAACTGAAAGAAAACAAGGCAAAGCACATTTAAATGGTTAGAAAGAATAACAAAGAAGATATTGCTATAAAGATGCAGTTTAATATTTAGTTATAGATATTATTCTTTTATTTCATCGCATCTCGGTGGCTTCCAGATTTCACAAGGAATTCCTTGGAAAGTCAAATTTTATGGGGCGGGGGAGGGGGGGGGGGGACTTAAGGATTAAATGAATGATGACTAATACTAAGTCTAAACCTCCTACATTATTGGGCTTTTCAGGGAATTCCCTAGGAAATCTCGTAGCCCCTGAGATGGGGTGAAATAAAAGAATATTTATGTATGTACGTATGTAGGTGAGTGTGTGTGTGTGTATCTTTAAGTAAATGGGTGGGCACGTGTATGTGTGTGTGCATGCGCTAGTGTGAACATGTATTTCACGACCCGTACTTTTGTTTTTTTCTTGATTTTCACAATATGCATCAACAAACAAAATTCATCACGTTCATCCTTATCTTGGCCATGTTAACACGAATGCCTACATACACACAATTTTCTCCATAAGTTTCGCTTCCTAACATCGCTAGAGAAGGGACAATGCATTTGAATAAAACATGCTTTACTGATAAAATACAACTGTTGTGTGAAAGATGGGTGTTTGAAAGGGCCAAATGTAAAATTGGCCCGCATGCCCAATTTGTGACCCTCTGAAAATAAAGTTTGTTTGTCTGTTTGTTCCTTTAAAGTAGGAGTAAAGCTTCACCAAAGACTAGGAACCAAAAGTCTGCACACAAATAAGCCAGATCTGTAAAATGGATGTGCATGCAAAACTAAAATTTATGGAACAAAACTAAAGTCCAGAAATGGATGAACAACCAGAACTTTCTGCTGGAGCTCAGAGCTGGTGAACGTAAAGATGTTCCAGGGCCCCATTTTGGATTGGGGGGGGGGGGGATATACCCACTGCCTCCTACAACGATGTCATGAAAGGCAACTAGTTAAGGGTTTGCTGAAACCAGATGTGCTGTGTTGAAAGGCAGAGATATCACAGCCTAGCTGTAAACCCAAGCATAACCGTCATTGTAGGGGCGAAAGCAGAAGAAGATGGCATACCTTCCATGACTGTACGTGAGTTTTGAGTTCTCTGGTGGAATCTTCTGTAAAATTTGCTCTGTCACTTCTGTAAAGTTGCCAGCACAACTTGCATACTTTGCAAGGACAGTTGTTCCCCTTGCAATCACTGCATACAAAATTGGCATTCTGATCTGGAATGTTACAGGGAAAACAAATTAGGTAATCTGCATTACAATTAGTCATAAAGTTCATCATTGTTATACATTATTCTGAATACAGATCATGTCTATCTACATGGCAATCAGTCATAAAATTCATCACGTTCATCCTTATCTTTGCCATGTTGACAAGAAGGCCCACATACACCAAATTTTCTCCCCAAGATTCGCTTCCTAACATCTCTAGAGAAGGGACAATGCATTATATTTAGACTTACACAGCAAACTAGATTTTGCCAACAGATGTTCACATTTTTCAGTGCAGGAAATATGGAGATGTGTCCTTGCAGCTTGGCACCAGAAAATGCTGAGCATGTTCTCCAACACTGACAACTGTATGCTGCTAACAGATAGGCAATATGGCCTGTTCAAAGATGCATGGAGACAAAGCTGTGTGGTACACTGGACTGCGTGATAACTTTCAACAATGCTACACAAACAATAGATTGCACAATTTATTTCCTGGCATATTTCGCTGTATCTCGTCAGGTGCATACTACAGTAACAATTACATAAATGAAGCAAATAAGTGAATCCTTTATAACTGAAGTACAATTTCAACAAAGATCAAACACGACTGCCTGTTTTTACAGCGTTCTTGAAGCTTCCGCGATTTGTCACCTGCGCCCGGAACTCTGTATTCAAAAAGAGATAGTTCTGTCTTTACGGCTGCCCTGGTAAAAACAGGCAGTCGTGTTTGATTGTTGTTGAAATTGTACGTCAGTTATAAAGGATTCACTTACTTATTGGCTTCATTTATTTAATTGTTACTGTAGTATGATAAGTATGCACCTGACGAGATACAGGAAAATATGCCAGACAATAAATTGTGCAATCTACTGTTTGTGTCTTCTTTGTTCAAATTTACAATGGGGAAACATTGCTTTGATTTAATTCAAGTGTCTGTACACGTTTATAAAACTTGTTTCTATTTGATTGTTTACTCATCCAGGTGTGTTTTTGTTTTCTATTGAATGTCTGTAACAGGTTGTCAGAGAGGACATATTCACTGTGGGGCTACCTGTCTTATTCTTATCACTTATCATTCCTCTGAGTTCCTCAACCCCTTGTACAAGATGTAAAAGCCCCCAGAAATTGACGCGCCTGCCGAGTCTGTTATTTCTTTTTGGCTTTATGCCTGCCTATTTTCTGGAGAATATTATGTATTATTATGAATATGATATATTTATAAATTCCTTCCTTGAAATCTGATTTTTTTGCTCTGCCTCCTACTATTTGTTTCTTTTGCCGGTTTACATACAGTAACTAATGAAACTGTAAGTAGCGGTACAGTTGAAGAGCACTTCGAAAAGAAAGCAGTGCTAGAAACAAGAAAACTTACCGAATGCTGTACTGTAGAAAAAAAGCTAAAATCTCTAGTGTCCGGGCCTTCTTCCAAGTTCCAGATTGTGTTTTTGTTGACAAACTTGCTGATGACGCAGGGTCACATGGCGGCTTGTGCGCATGCGCTGGGTGCTCTTCTGTTCCAGAGTACAATAAATAATCTGACTCTGAAAAGAATCTCAGCGCAGTGCACGAACTCCGTAGAACCGGCGAGGATCCTGAGATACTTTGGGTTTTTTTTTAACTTCAAATTTTGCCCCGTTAGGCTATTCTTTTTTTCGATTTCCAACATGCATGGGCTTTTTTTTTTTTATCTCCAGGGAATGCAGGTGTGGTGGGAAAGTACCAGGCAGACAGATTGGCTGGTTCTGCATCACTTTGGTGGTAAATTCATCGTCATCAATTTCCACTTAAACTGTTCAGCGTCGTGGGGAGGAGAAGTCTGCAGTCCATTGCTTGATGGACAGCAATGGCTATTGTCATTTCGTGTCGATGTAGTTCTTTAACATCACCAGTCCATATTCTCCTAGGGCGGCCTCTCGATTCTTGAGATCTTTTCATGTGTGGCGCCTGCATTAGTGGTTGTTCCGGCTGCATACTTACTAGATGATCAAACCAATTTATCTTCCATTTCTGAAGGGATTTGCCTCATGGTGTTGTTCCAACAGTCTGCTAATATAATTTCTTTGTCTCGGATAAATTGGCGGCTTTCCGCATGCATTTCATTTCGCATGTGTCAATTGTTACGTAGGTTAGCCTTTGATAATGTCCACGTCTGGCACTAGTAGCACAGTGTTAGTATGAATATGCTGTTTATAATCTGTTTCTTGGCGCTTATACTTTTATTTGGGTTGAGTTAAGTTCAGAATTGACATCACAGCACTCGGGGCACTCCCATACGCGCTCCGTCCTCATTTTCGGCAGCCAACGCAGAGTTCCAATACTAATGGTACCGATCACAATCTGGTTATATGTCCGTCTTTCCTTTCCTCTGAGTGTAGTGAGCCGGTCAGACCCTCTGGTTACACCCAGGTGCCTCATTCTCTTCAGGCACTTATATTTAGATGTCTTAATAAAGGTGTCATTTAGTATATAAGTGCACTGGCTCGTTTTTGTCTTGTTTCTGTTACCCGATCTATTCTTCAGTCCTCCAAGAATATACTTCCTCGATATATAAATTCTTGCTTCAGACAAGTACGTTCAACCCGATATGTGGTGGTGGTAAACTTTGCATGTTATCAAGGCCATATGGGAGCTATTGAAAACAGTGCTGTGGCACAAATAGATCATCACGGTGTGAAAAGAATGGTGTAGCGGGGAACGGCCAGGGAATCTGTCCAACACTGAACACTTAGAGGAAAGGCGAGACTGTCATACAATCAGACCACTACTGGTACCATTAGAATTCCGCTATGGCTGCTGAAGATAAGGACATCACTCTTATGGGAATGCCCTGAATACTGTTATGTCGGATCTTAACCTAACTCTAGCTCGTCACTTATGTTATTTTCGACATCGGTGAACATCGAGCATTGCCATAGCATTTCAAGGTACACCTAATGATAGTTAGTTAGTTAGTTAGTTAGTTAGTTAGTTAGTTAGTTAGTTAGTTAGTTAGTTGGGTTATCCTCATTGCACTCCGGACATGTCCATAGGTGCTCAGATCCTCCCCTCAGTATGAACCCCAACGTCCGATGGCTAATAGTACCAGTTCTATGTTGATTAACAAGTCTTCTGGCGTAGCTGGTGTGCGTCTCGTTTTTTGCTGTGCCGATCTTAATTCCCAAGTCTGCCATTCTGGCGAGTGATGTGGATTCACTGCCACCAAAGTCCTCTATTCTTCCCATTTCTCTGAGGGCATTGATAATATCAGCATGATCCATAGGCTGACCGTCGGTAGTGATAGCGGATCCAGCCAACCTGTCAGCTCTTTCATTTCCATTGACGTCTGCGTGTCCCGGAACAAAAATAAAGGTGACTCCACGAACAGTGGACTTCTGTAATGATTCAAGCCATTGTCTTCGCACTGAACCTGCCTGAACCCTCCGGATCATACTCATTGAATCACTGAGTATACACACGCGGGTGTATTTTTGTGTTTCAAGCCAGGCAAGCGCTTGTGTCACTGCCATCACCTCCATCGTCATGCTGCTGGTTGTCATGGAGAAGGCGCCGTTGGCTTCTTTGACTGTTCTGCCCGCTGAGCGTGCTGTAAATGCCCATGCGCTTCTTCTTTGGCGTATAACGGATCCGTCTGTATAGATTATTGCATCTGCTTCGTCTGAATTTTCACCGATGAGAGCGTTGACCTCTGCATTAACAGCAACAGGATTCTCTTCTCTACATCGCCTGTTGAGTGTGACAATACAGGAAAATGTACAAATAAACGCCTGAGGCACAGGTATCCATTCTGCACCAGGTATGATGTCGGTTAGGCTGCATATTTGCCTAATAACATCTTCTGCCCGACCTAGCCACCTAATGATAGTTCCCATGAGAAGCTGGTTATGTCTTTTATCTTGACCTGGAAGACGGCACCAACGAGAGATTTAGCTTTAGTGGACAGGTCCTCTTCATTGCCCATCGAACGATTTACCCCACTTGGTTTGCCTTCAGTGTAATATCAACAGGCTCCGTCGCTCGCCTTTCAGGTTTTTTTTTCCATTGCAAACTTTTATTAGGGTCTTACCTAGTAAGATCACAATGTTCCACGATAGTCAGTCTGTTTTCTATTGTGCTTTGAACACTCCTCGTGTGTGCCACACAGTCTCTCACCCCTCCTCTTTTCCTGACATAAAGTTTATTGTGATGGAGTTTCAGTTACTTGTTTGTCTCTTCCTTGCTCTCTCTCTCTCGAAGTGAAAAATGAAGACAATTTTGGAAGTAACTTACAATAAATATTATCTGATGTAAACACTAACTGAGAAGACTACCAGTTCAAGAAATTATTAGAAAACGCAATGTGTTCTGGAAATTAGCCAATAATGCATATTGACGTAGAAACCTTTTTTCTTCTTCGCGTTTACTGGCTGTAAATTTTAGCGGAAAATTCTAATTGTCCACCTACCTCTGGACCTTAGTCTTGACACCAGAACCTAAGTGTTGCGTGTAAATCCGTTTTACGGATCTGGTTTATTTATATGCAAACTGTTGACGCCTTTCCTTTCCGGCAGATGCACTCCGACATCAAAGAAAGCACCGAGTTAGTCGACTCTTACGACATGCTTGTAAGGGAGGCAAGTAACGCATCGTAGGTTCCTAACTAAAAGCGCAGTGAACGCAAGAAACGCCGATTTGACGGCTCTCTTTACTTAAAAAAAAATAATTGCGCACACAAACACACTGTCCCTTGGGCCTTCTGGTTCAACCCCCCCTCCCCCACCCCGGGGGCCGTTCAGTGGTGAAGAAACCAAAAGACGAAGCTTTTCACCCCTATTACAGTAGCGCGGAAAAAAATAATGCCTAAAAAGATGACGGTATTGCCTACGGGTGCATATCGCAAGTTAAAAAAAAAACCTGGATGTAATGATTAACAAAGCTGTATACTGTAGTGACGAATGAAGCATTTTAATTGTGTAAATGGTAATGCACAGATTTCAGATCCACCATGGGTATATTAGCAATTATTCATTCATTAAGTAGCATGTCCCTCGCGGAACCTCGCTGCCATAACAACCCTCCGGAAAACCTTCCTATCATGAGCAAGATGTCCTGCGTATGATAGACCCATCTGGAGATCATCTGCCACATCCTGCACCCATCTTCTCCTTGGCCTTCCTCTTCCTCTCTTCCCAGGCATATACCCCTCCATTATTGTTCTCTCTAGACCTCCATGACGTTTCAAGTGACCAAAATATTTCAATTTTCTTTGTTTTATTGTCTTTACTAGCCAACCCTCTTCAATATTCAGCTCTTGAAGTATGGATGCATTTGTTCTTTTCTTTACCCAAGATATTCTTAGAACCTGTCTGTAACATTTATATTCAAATGCATTTATGCGCTGTTCCGCTTGTTATTATTATATTAGCTATCAGGTTCAAAAATAAGTCTTCCTGACTATCAGTTTCAGTGTTCTTCTTTTTCTGTGTTTATCCGAAGATGTAACTGCATTGTGTCTGTTTACAGCATGGCTGCGATATTTGCACCTTTTGGCCAACACATCTGACTTCTACGGGCATTTTTTGACTGAGTTAGCCTTCCTGGTAGTTTCAGTGTTCTAACTCAATCATCATCATTATCACAGTCTATACAGAACAACACTCTCATTTCAGCTGCCTGAAAGAAACTAGGTTCTTTTGTGTCAACACTTCTGCCTCGAGCACTTTCCCCACCCAGGGTGTCACAAATATCCCGGACCCATCTTCCTGCTGGTCAACCCCTGTCCCTTCCCTTGTACCATGCACTCTGCCACTGCTTTTTCTAATCCACCGTAGCACTCTGATATCGCCAAAACATTATATTTCAGTTTCTGAGACAAGATGCTGTTTACCAGCCAATCTTCCTTGATCTTTAGATCTTTTAGGACATCAGCGTTTCTTCTGAGAATCTTTCTATAGTATTTCAGCTCAAAAGCTCCAGTTTTTCTTTCTTAACGATTGTGAGATAGTCCATAACTCATATCTGTATGTTGGTAAAGGAAAGATGCACACTCTAAAAATTATGACTTTGATTTCCTTGCTGGTGCTTAGCCATAAACTTTTAATACTGTCCAATCTTTGCATTGCTATGGTCATCCTCCTTTTAAACTTCTGCCGAAATCTCTACTGCAGTTTATTATGGAGCCGAGATATTCAAAGTTTTTGACATTTTAAATTTCTTCATTATTTATTATTAGTTTTGGGTGACAACAGTGGTTCTGAATATTTGTTTTGTTTTATTTAAATTCAGGATCTCAATAACTATTATAAATTGAGCTTGAGCCATGATAACATAAACTGTCAGATTCTTCTTCTTCCACTTCTGGGTTCTTCCTTTAAGTTGTCTGGCTTGCTGTGTTGTAGTTTATAGCTATGCTGTGATATGTGCAACCTTCAGCCAAACATCCAATCTGATTAAAAAAGTTGTCTTTTAAGACATGTTTATTATGGCAGTGGGTGTGAACAACAAAGCAATAAATTCATCATGAACTTAATCATTATTAGCAACATCATTAGTATCATCATCATTTGCATGAACATTATCATCACAAGTAATCCACATTATTATCAACATCTTTATCACCACCAACATCCTCAACATCATATTCATTAAGAACATCCCATCTTCAACAACCCTATCATTAACAGCATCATTATCTCCACCATCAGCACCATAATCATCAACATATTTATTGAAAACATACATCATCATTGATCAACATCAACAGAATGGCAGTAATAAAGAAAGCACTATTTCTAACTCAAAGATGCAAACAACGGGGAACGGAGAACGAGAAGCAAAATGAAATTCACAATCTGTTCATAACTTGTTAAAATCACCACCATTATGAGGGTTAGTTTACTGTAATGACTGGGGCATATTGAAAGAATGTGAGATGACAAAGAGAAACAAACCTGTATACATAAAGGAGTTAAATGGTCGTAGACCGTAAGGCAGACTGAGACGAATATGGAGACAATATACATATACAAACTCCATCTAGTCATCAACTGGAAAGACAGGACTAATCAGGGATTAATGGACTGGGTGATAGATGCAGCAATGAACCTCGAGGGCTTGAATTGCTGAAGAAGAAGAAGAAGAAATTTCTTACTCTAGCTACTCTACTATTTTGTTGGTGTTCGTTATATTATGAAGCTGATATGACTGACTGATTTTCTACCCCATTAGGACATCACACAAGCGATAAACACCCGATGACACAAAGTGCCACCATGTGGATGAGGATCACCGTGGAGAGGTCCAAGAAACCGCATTCAGACAATTGGCCATATTGATGGCCTGCCTATATTGTGGCCCCTGGCAAAAGCCAGAGTGGGGCTTCAAATAAAAAAAAAAAAACGTCCTAAAAAGGACGTAAGGAATCAATATTTTTTAAGAAGAAGATAAGCTGATATACTTTTCGTTTAGTTTTATATCTTTTCTTGATACTCTAGCTAAGGCACTTAAATGTGATAAAAGGTAACTAATTAGCTAAAAAATAAAAAAAAAAAAAAAAAAAATTCCTTTCTCGTATCACTGGAACTATGCCAAAGTTACCTAAGATTCTCTCTGAAGAGGCAAATGAAAATTGTGTAGTTGCATGAAAAGTAATATTAAATTTTGACCTTTTTAGATCAGAAATTTATTTGTGTGTGTCTTTGGAAATTTTTAAAGTGGCTTGAATGATAGATATGTTCAGCTTTTTGCAGGTTTCAGCTACATCCATGATCCATCTCTTTCTTGGTCTCCTTCTCGCCTTTCTCCCAGATATTATGCGTGACAAATCTTATAAGCAGTTTGGTCTGGCTGCATTCTCACTAGACGGCCGAATGATTTAATTCTTTGTCTATAAATATAATTCAGACACGGTCTTATTCCAAAGTTCGCTCTAATGCTGGTATTCATAACCCTGTTCCCTCTTGTGGTGTAAGTGAAAAAGCATCTAGATAGGGTAGAAAAATATGCTGTTGCAATTAATCACAGATATAATTAAATCAAACAGGCTCATAACAGGAGCATACGAATCTTCAGCTCAATTTTATCATCATGAATATAATTTCGCTGTTTTATCATGTCATGGCTGACAAATTCAACCAGACCCCAGCAATCACTCTCTCCGTCTGATACTCCCCATGGCTTGGTGTACTGGAACTGGTTTCCCCCGGCCTTCAGTGAATCAGTGTGGTCATCTACAAGCAAAGAAATAAATTGTTTGTGGTGAAACAATGAAAAGTCTATGGCCAACTGGTAGTCAGGATGTGAGGTACTAACTTTACTGCAAATAGATCACATCATAATTGCTCCAATCATGTGGCAGTGTAATCATATAAAATGCTATTTGTTGTCTCATTTGAAAAACGGAGAACAAAGAAACAGTGCAAAATTAAGAGAAATGCACAGGTAGTAAATGAATAAGGCAGCCAATTGTGGCGCAGACACAACAGTTGTCACCAGAAATGCAGTTTGTCACTGACAGAAGTAGTCAGCCATGACAATTACCATTCGCATGCAAAACTATTGCATTCGGCACTTTGTTAGCCTGAAAATAAACCAGCTATCCAACAGTTTCCGAAAATCATGACATTAACCACTAGAGGTAAAGAGGATAGGCATTTTACATGTTTTACAGTGTTGCACCAGGCACTCAATTCAGCAACTTAAGCTATGAAACTGTAGACTGCAGTTCATATGTTGAAATTGCACTACAGTACATTAGTTAAAGATAAATTAACAAAATAGTTGACTTCACTGCACCAGTTATCCCATATAGCTCAGTCTCTCTCAGAATGGCTAGCCAATAGCTGAAAACGCTGCATAAAGCATGAACTCATATACATAGTAACAATCTCCAGGGATCTTGCAAAAACTGCACTCGTGAACTGAACATACATCTGGGAAATGAACCCATGACCTGCACTGCATGAGACAAACACCTTGACCACTCCACCATAGAGATTCATAGTGAGCTAGCTAAAACTGACAGCATAAAGTATGGCTGGTCCTGGTTCAAAACAATCACAAGCATATGATAGATTTTTTGCACAGGACATTAGGGTGTTTTGGGTCACTGACAGAGACAGAGTGGTTGATGTCCTCCTTGGGGTGGTGAGCTACTTTATAATTATAATAGAGCAATCTGCAGTGAATATCAAGAACTCAGATTGCTGAAGAAGAAGGAGGAGGAGGAAAAGAAGAAGAAGAAGAAGAAGAAGAAGAAGAAAAAAAAAAGAATGAGGCAGAGGAGAAGTAGGAGCAGGAGAAAGAGGCAGAGGAGAAGAAGAAGAAGAAGAGAGAAAAAGAAGGAGGAGAAAGAAGAAATAAAATAGCAATACCTGACTGGTTAACCAAAATGACAACAAACTGAAGATTTACAGGCCATTTTAAATGTCGGTCATAGTCTCCTTTGATAATCCGAAGAAACACTGACATGCACCGATTAGTTCCAGTTCCATTTCCATTGAGATATACCTCGGCTTGAGCCCTGTAGATGAACTTTTTGTATTTTTAAATGGTTTATTGATAAGCATCTCTTTTTAAAACCATAATCATCATCATGTGCCCTGCCAACTGGCGTAGGCGCTCATGCGTCTCCACAGATCACTATCCTTGGTTGCCTAGAACAGCTCTCTCTATGATATCCCATCATACCATTGTTTCAGCCCACGCAGAATCATCTCTCTTGGTCTGCCTCTACCCCTTTTCCCACTGATCTTTCCAGTTGTCACGATGTTCTCCAATGTCTCTCTTCTAATTATGTGGCCAAAGAACAGTTTGTCTCTTTCTTATTGTTGTATATAGAGATCTACTTTTATTAGCTTCTTTTAAGCAATTAAAAACCATAGTTGAGGGCATGAGAGATGAAGGTGGTCAGCAATACAAATCGGATGACAACATAAGGAGATGGACTAACAGCAGTTTGAGAGAGTGTACTACCAAGACTTAACATAACATAACCCCCGACCCGTTACAGTCGTGGATGCATATCGCTGGAAGCACTAACATACAAAACCCACCATCTTCCTCTGTCTTCCACTTGTATGATAACTTAGTCCTGTAAATTTTTTTTATGCTGTCATTCCAGGTCCTTCTTTGCCTTCCAAGACAAGATTCAAAGCATGCTGGAGATCCACTGCAGCCAAACCTAATTGTGGAGATGGCACCTTACTGATTGACTGACTGATTAGAGTTGAGACTGGAGGCAGAGGGATGAATCACACATGGTGGTGCACCTGGACCAGGGTTCATACTCGTCAAGACCTATCTATAATCGCCAAGACCTATCTATAATCGCCAAGACCTATCTATAATCGCCAAGACCTATCTATAATCGCCAAGACCTATCTATAATCGTTAAGACCTATCTATAATCGTCAAGACCTATCTATAATCGTCAAGACCTATCTATAATCGTCAAGACCTATCTATAATCGTCAAGACCTATCTATAATCGTCAAGACCTACTATAATCATCAAGACCTATCTATGATCATCAAGACCTATCTAGAATCATCAAGACCTATCTATAATTGTCAAGACCTATCTATAATCATCAAGACCTATCTATAATCGTCAAGACCTATCTATAATCATCAAGACCTATCTAGAATCATCAAGACCTATCTATAATTGTCAAGACCTATCTATAATCATCAAGACCTATCCATAATCGTCAAGACCTATCTATAATCATCAAGACCTATCCATAATCATCAAGACCTATCTATAATCGTCAAGACCTATCTATAATCGCCAAGACCTATCTACCCCTCTCCTCAGCCATCCTAGAAACAGATTCCCAACCAGGACGGCCTGGCCAACATAGATAGGATCATTTCCCTCAAAGTCTGCATCTACAGGAGAAGTGAAAATTCAACAATCTGCACATAAAACAAGCCAGATCTGTAAAATAAGTGGAAATACAAAACTAGTCCTAAAAAAAAAAGGACAAAAGTCCAGAAGGCCAGTTTACAGTGGGAGTGAAAGAAGAAGAAGAAGAAAAGGAAGAGTAGAGCTGGTTGAGAACAAGTATACAGTATTTGGTATATTCTCATAAATGCATCATCTCTATCTTTATCAACTATGACAGAGCTCCTATTCCAATTGCAACTTGACCGTGTGTCCATCTTGCCTTTTCTCTGAGTGGTGAGTCTCCATCAGAAACTCTGGTCACCCCCACTCCCCCCACCCACAGCATACCCCCCTCAACACCCACACCATACCCCCCTCTCCACCCACACCATACCCCCCTCTCCACCCACACCATACCTCCCTCCTCCACCCACACCATACCCCCCTCCTCCACCTACACCATACCCCCCTCTCCACCCACACCATACCCCCCTCTCCACCCACACCATACCCCTCCTCCACCCACACCATACCCCCTCCTCCACCCACACCATACCCCCTTCTCCACCCACACCATACCCCCCTCTCCACCCACACCATACCCCCTCCTCCACCCACACCATACCCCCCTCTCCACCCACACCATACCCCCCTCTCCACCCACACCATACTCCCCTCTCCCACCCACACCATACCCCTCCTCCACCCACACCATATCCCCCTCTCCACCCATACCATACCCCACTCCCCCCACCCACATCATACCCCCTCTCCACCCACTCCATACCCACCCACACAATACCCCCTCCTCCACCCACACCATACACCCCTCTCCACCCACACCATACCCCACTCCCCCCCCACACCATACCCCCTCCTTCACCCACACCATACTCCCCTCCTACACAATTACCTCCAGACTGTGATGATCTAAGCTTAATCTTAAATAGTTTATTGTGTGGGTTCCAGGGCCTCATTTGGGCTGAAAAAAATAACAACCAATCGTCTGACTCCTTCCTTATAGTTATGTCCTAAAAGGCTACTAATTAAGAATGTTTCCTTCAAAGTAAGATTGCTTCTGTCTGAGGGGTAAGAAACCAATGGTCTGCCTACAGGTAAGCCAGGTATGTTAAACAGGTGTGCACGCAAAATCTGAGTTCTGGAACAGGATCAAAGTCCAGAAGTGGACAAGCAACCACAACTTTCCACCAGAGTTTACAGCCAGTGAACATGATAAAGAATAAGAAAATATCATCATTATCACTATCATCATCAAGTTTTTAAGGCCTTGGTCCAAATGAGAAGCTTCCTGCTAATTCCCTTCAAATCTGTCTTTCAATTAAAAAAAAAAGACTAAAATTAAATTATAGTCTCAAAGGATGGTCCATTGAACTATCTACAGCCAGCCATTACTGAATGTGTATATTATAAATACAGCATTGCATTTAAAATGTAATATTCCCATGTGGGTTCCAGGAGGTTGGGAGGGGGGGGGGGCAGGGAAAGAACAGAACCTCTGTCACTTAACAAGCATGTCATGTGACTAATTAGAATTGCTGAATGTGTTGGGCTGAACGGCAATCTAGCTGTAAACCACACTGTATAGTTCATTCGTTGTCCTGTTGTGGCACTGTATGTCACACAGGGCTGGCAGTCTATTCTTCCACTGTGCTGTTGTGGCACTGTATGTCACACAGGGCTGACAGTCTATTCTTCCACTGTCATGCTGTGCCACTGTATGTCACACAGAGCCTGCAGTCTATTCTTTCATTGTCCTATTGTGCCACTGTATGTCACAGCTTTGTTTTTTTTAAAATGCATTTAACTTTCTTTCCACGTCTTTAGTTTTTCTCCAACGTTCACCTTCATATGTTAAAAGTGAAATAACATTAGAGCTGAGAATATGTAATTTTGTTTTAAAACTTTACAGTTTAGAGTTCCAAATTTCGTTCAAGCTATTAAAAGCTGCTGATGCCTTGCAAATGTGTGTATAGTTTTTGTCTGTATTTCCTCCACTTTCAAAATTACTACCTGAATAAGTGAACTGATCTGTTACTTGAATTACTTATAGTGTGTTAGTATTATACTATAATTACCTGTATCCACAGTGTGTCATGTAGAATGGCCATGAAACCTCCTTGTGGCCTTCATCGAGCTTTTCCTGTCGCAGTTTTTTAGAATAGTTGGAAATGATCCACTTAAATGTAACTTCTGTAGGGAAAAAATCTGCAGGCATTGGGGGTAAGGGAACAGGGGATACTGGGCGCCCTGAAAAATAATATCCACAATATACCATTTAAGCCTTATAGTAAGATGAAATGTGTGTACCAAAATTTCATATATATATATATATATGGGGAGAGAGAGAGAGAGAGAGAGAGAGAGAGAGAGAGAGAGAGAGAGAGAGAGAGAGAGAGAGAGAGAGAGAGAGAGAGAGAGAGAGAGAGAGAGAGAGAGAGAGAGAGAGAGAGAGAGAGAGAGAGAGAGAGGGTTAGCCACAAATCATAGTCCTCCCTAATCCATACGGAAAAGCAGGATAGCTGGTGAAAGATCTATCTATGTTGAAGGAGAAGTAAGATAGTTCCTTCTTTCCAGGTGGAGTACCTGTTTAGCCTCACTATCAGCGTAAAGTAAGGTAAATGAAGCAGGTATATCAGGGTAAAGTGAGGTAATTGAAGCAGGTATATCAGGGTAAAGTGAAGCTACGGTAGCAGGTATATCAGGGTAAAGTGAAGCTATGGTAGCAGATAGATCAGGGTAAAGTGAAGTAATGAGAGCAGGTAGATCAGGTTAAAGTGAAGTAATGAGAGAAGGTAGATCAGGGTAATGTGAAGTAATGGGAGCAGGTAGATCAGGGTAAAGTGAAGTAATGGGAGCAGGTAGATCAGGGTAATGTAATGGGAGCAGGTAGATCAGGGTAATGTGAGGCCATGGGAGCAGGTAGATCAGGGTAATGTGAGGCCATGAGAGCAGGTAGATCAGGTAATGTGAGGCCATGGGTGCAGGTAGATCAGGTAAAGTGAGGCCATGGGTGCAGGTAGATCAGGTAAAGTGAGGCCACAGGAGCAGGTAGATCAGGGTAAAGTGAGGCCACAGGAGCAGGTAGATCAGGGTAAAGTTAGGCCATGGGAGCAGGTAGATCAGGTAAAGTGAGGCCATGGGAGCAGGTAGATCAGGTAAAGTGAGGCCATGGGAGCAGGTAGATCAGGTAAAGTGAGGCCATGGGAGCAGGTAGATCAGGTAAAGTGAGGCCATGGGGGCAGGTAGATCAGATAAAGTGAGGCCACGGAAGCAGGTAGATCAGATAAAGTGAGACCATGGGAGCAGGTAGATCAGATAAAGTGAGGCCATGGGGCAGGTAGATCAGGTAAAGTGAGGCCACAGGAGCAGGTAGATCAGATAAAGTGAGACCATGGGAGCAGGTAGATCAGGTAAAATGAGGCCACGGGAGCAGGTAGATCAGGTAAAGTGAGGCCACGGGTGCAGGTAGATCAGGTAAAGTGAGGCCACAGGAGCAGGTAGATCAGATAAAGTGAGACCATGAGAGCAGGTAGATCAGGTAAAGTGAGGCCATGGGAGCAGGTAGATCAGGTAAAGTGAGGCCATGGGAGCAGATAGATCAGATAAAGTGAAGTAATGGGAGCAGGTAGATCAGGTAAAGTGAGGCCATGGGAGCAGGTAGATCAGGTAAAGTGAGGCCATGGGAGCAGGTAGATCAGGTAAAGTGAGGCCATGGGAGCAGGTAGATCAGGTAAAGTGAGGCCATGGGAGCAGGTAGATCAGGTAAAGTGAGGCCATGGGAGCAGGTAGATCAGATAAAGTGAGGCCATGGGAGCAGGTAGATCAGATAAAGTGAGGCCATGGGAGCAGGTAGATCAGATAAAGTGAGACCATGGGAGCAGGTAGATCAGGTAAAGTGAGGCCATGGGAGCAGGTAGATCAGGTAAAGTGAGGCCATGGGAGCAGGTAGATCAGGTAAAGTGTTTGAGAGCAGCCAACAGATAGTTGTTGGTTATGGTCCCAAGTTACCCAGCAGTTAGCAAAGAATCTATAGTAACCACTGCTACAGTCACCCAGCCATTGTGGTCATTGCTTAGAAGAAAGCAATGGCAAACTACCTTCTTTAAGATGCCAAGAATAGTCAGGATTTCACGAGTCAGAAAAATGGCTCCATTATTTCTGTATGCATGTATCAGAAAGCAAACAGTGATTTTCCAAAGTGTTGCTTATTATGCTGTCTAATTATTGCATGCTGTGTATTGTTAGTTTGCAGAATTGCCTTTTCAATGGTCACATTTTCATAGTCATAACACTGTGACTGAACATGTCTGATTAAACATGAAACCATATGTCTGACTCGCATTGTTAATCTTTTGTTTTTCCACTTCATTTCTGGCTTCTTTTTATGAAGAATGTTGGTCTTTAGCCACTCAAGCAGATGTACTGCAACTTTAAAGGACACAGCCCTAATTACTGGACTTTTACAGCATGCTTATGAGGTGCTAGTGGGTCTATACTTTCTTCCCCTAAAATGGAACCCCAGAACGGACATGAGGAATGAGGAAGAACAGTTTGTGGTCTATCAATGGGTAGTACTGGCCATTGTTGTTCTGTGTTGATGGGTGTGTAATATCTTTGAGTTGTCAGTCCATCTTCTTTCACACCCTCTAGGTCTCACATTAAAAACTTCTAGTTGTAGCGTGTGTGTTAGTAGTTGCTGTGGGTGCCTTCTGACGAGATGACCAAATGGTCTGATCTTCTGCTTCTCAATGAATTTGTTGCTTCCACAATTTTGATAGTATTGGTCTCAGGTAGTTAAGTTTGTAGCTTTCCTCAGGCATTTAGACTCAACGATTTAAATTTTTAAATGGGTGAGCTTTGATAACCTCCTGTTTTGCAACATACAATACCTCATGTTTTTCTTCTTTTGTTTTTCTTCCGCATTCACACATAAAAAGACAGCATGTTCTGCTGTGGTTTACAGCTAGGCTACGATGTATGTGCCCAACACATCCGACTTCAACAAACTTCTAACCAGTCACCTTCTGTGAACTGCTTATGACGAGGATAAACAATAATTTAATCAAATGTATAAGAGCATCCATACCTGAAACGCCAATTAGTGTTTGAGATGAGTAAGGAGAAGCTATATCATCTAATCGACCATCACCTCTAGCTGGTTTCAGTATGTGTGGTTGTGGAAGATTCTTGTGAGTACTGCAGCTCAGCTTCCTCTCAAGTTCCTTGATCTTAACAAAAAAGCAGAAATGCAGCAGACTTGAAATGTGTGATGAATGAATTTAGTTGTGCTGTACCACAAGTTATCAGGTTTAAGTGTGACACCGTAATGGACTATCTACATTCTGAGGTTAGAGCCATTGTAGTGCAGTGACAAGATGTTTGCCTACTGGCTTAAAGATCTTGGGTTTGAATCCACATTAAACCTTTCAGTCTCAGAAGGTTCTGTTTCTTCTTTTTCACCTTTCATCTACTCCTGGAATGCCTCATGCAGTCAGGACAGGAAGAGATATCTAGATATCTATGTCAGTCAGCCGCTATTGACACTGAGATAGCTGCTGCTTCAGAGGATGGAGCTGTAAAGTACTAGCAATTTTCAGCTGTTTGTGGTTTCACTACCAGACAATTTTATGTTCAGTAGTTTGCTACTGTTCTGAACGGTCGGCTCTGATACCACTGACAAAACCTATACAAGGTGGTTTGCTGCCAAACTGCCTGCAGCTTGGATCAAACTAGGCATCCCACAATTACTTCAATAACAGAAACAGAACCAAAATATACAAGCTATCAAAATTTAAAACAACTGTAATTACTGCCTGTATTTACCACTTTGGCAGGGTAGGTAGAGAAAATATCCTAAGGATGCTAACTACACAGGACCTTTGACGTGATGCTTGCCATTCTGCACGGAGCAGGCTGCCATGCAGCGAAAGACAAGTAAACAAATTTGCAATAGTATAGAACTATCAGGCAGAACATGAACTTTAATTTTCAACAAAGAAAAGTATAAAAATGCACAAGTTATCATTACTAAACTTTTTTTTTTTAAAGAAATAGAAAGAAAAAAAAACAGAACAATGCAAATGTAAAACTAGAGTATAAGGTTAAAGTTGAGAGTGTCAACTTCATTGCCCCAGGTTTTATCCTAGATGGCTTTGTCTCTCTCAGCAGAATGACTAACTGCTTGCCAGGAGTGTCACACAAAGAACAAACACTGTAACTTCAGTGATGATCCCCGGGATCTCCGTAAAAACAATTACACTTTCGAACAGGGTCAGATTTAGACTTGATGATGCCCTAAGTTATATAAAGGCCCGAGACCTTTACCGTTTTTAATTACGCCTGTTAATCTCCGAAAAATTAAAAAATCATATGTAAATAAATGGTGGAAATTGATGCATATCAAGCTGTTTATTTTATGCAATTTAAACTGGTTACAAGTTAGAAAAAATAAAAGCCTGATATAATGCACCAAAAAAATATATATATTAAAATTTGAACATTTCGGGGGGCATTTTTCTTCAAAAATTTTAAAAGAAAATCGCATTATTGACAAGAATTAAGGAAGTTTTTTTAAAGGCCCCTGCAGATTCTGAAGCCCTAAGCTGTAGGTTACTTCGCCTAAATCTAGCACTGCTTGTGAACCAATGAGACAGATCATGAAATGAACTCTTGACCTTAAGAACAAGAGGCAAATGGCTTAACCACTTATCACGGTGACCCCCAATATAAGACAGTATCGTAGCTTTATTTTCAAGGCAGAAAAAATATTAGAAATGCAAAAGTCGAGCTAAAAGAATCCTTACTTTATTTTTCAAGGAAGAACTCTTCCTTCAGCAAGTAAAAACTGTATACACAAAAGAGATGAATGGTCGTAGACCATGAGGCAGACCAAGAAGAAGATGGAGAGATATTGTCCAGACAGACCTGCAAACACTTGGTGTCACCAACTAGAAAGAGAAAGCCAACCAGAGAGATGAATGGAGGTGGGTGATATCTGCAGCAATAAACCTCAAGGGCTCGAAATGCTGCAGAAGAAGAAGAAGAAGAGCTCTTTGTTGACTATTAAGGATGGGGATGGAGCATGTATGGGGATGTCCCAAGCGCAGTGATGTCAATTTTTGATCCATTTATTTCTTTGCGTGGGTTCTGTGGGTTCAGTGGCCCCCATTTTAGGATAAAAAAGAATAGAGATCTTGCTCCTTTAAGAAGCATGTAGTAAGTGATGACCACAATAGGAATGTTTTCTTAGAAATACTTCAAGTGTATCCGCATGAGAGGCGAGAAACCAACAGTCTGCATACAAATAAGCCAAATCTGTAATATGGATGTGCACGCAAAACTCAAGTCCTGGAACAAGACCAGGGTCCTGAAATGGATGAAGAAGCAAAATTCTCTGCCAGAGTTTACAGCTGGTGAACGAGAAAAAGAAGGAAAAAAAAAAAAAAGAAGATTCATTCCTTCATTCATGCAAGAAAGAAAAGTAAAAATATGCAAAAGTATGATCAAAAGACAGTAGTATCCTTACTTTATTTTTCAAGGATTTGATCTCTTCTACAGAGCCAGCATCAACAAAACTGTTGCCCTTTTGGCCATTCAAAAGGAATTGGGCTGCTTTGGATGGGAAATGCAGAACATGGAAATTGGCGTAGAGTTGCTCAAGTTGGACATAAATATGCTCCTCCGTCAATAGTGGATGTTGCTGCTGAAACAAAATATTTTATATGGAATTAAAAAAATCAGTTTTGAATACAGGTGTCTAATTTTCTATATGTGTGAGCAATGTGGTAGTAGCAATTTGATTATCCTGTTCAACCCACATGGGTTATTATTGAGGTAATTAGAATATGTGAGAAATTCTGTGAGTTATAAGTTAATAGTTGATATTATAACCTTAGGGACACTCCTATAAGCACTCTGTCCCCATATTCAGCAGCAAGCGCATAGTTCCAAATGGTACCAGTAACAGTCTGATTGTATGTGAGTCTCACCACTTGTGTGAGTATTAAACATCAACCAGATTTCCTGGTTATTCCTCCCTGCAGCATCCTCTTCAGACCGTGAGGTTCTATTGTGCCTCCGGTCTGTTTACTCGCTCCCAAAGGGCCATAACAACATCTAGCTCGTCATGCATCAATGTATCACCTGGTGGTGCAAAACCAGCCAGTCTATCTACTTTTTCATTTCCCAACAAGCAGCATGCCCGGGAAAAATATCCAAAGGAAACTAACTACCTGAGACCTCTGGAATGATGCTTGCCACTCTGCATGGAGCCCAGCAGTCTCCACTTTTCAACACTTTAAGCAAGTTTGTCGTGGTGCAATGGCTAACACACTTGCATGATGGCACAGTGCTAATGTGTTTGAATCCTTATCCTACTGGGTGCAGCTAGCTCTCCTAGGAGGATGAAAAGCAAAAGCTAGTAGTCTGCTGCTCTCCTATGACCGCACAAGCCTCTTCAGTGAAATCTTATATTCACAAACAGGTTTAACTTCAACTGATTCTGTCCTAACATGGGTTCATTTTACTTCATGGTGGTCTTGTTCACTTCACAAGTACAGCTTTTACAGAGCAGGGACTAGAAAGTGAAGTTAACAAGATTGGGGAGAAGTGCTCGTGGATTCAGTGTATATGATAGCAAAGGATAGGATCTGTTTACAGGAGCTGGTTGCGGTTCTATGCTCCTTTAGGGATAAATGGCAGAGTAAAAGTAAATTAAAGTACTCTCTTTCACCTCTTCAGGCACATTGGGCATATAGAGCTAGACCTTCATTTTACTGACCAATCAGCTTTCAGTGGGTGACGCGGTCATCATCATGCTGGCCACCTTTATTTCCCAGGACTTTACCTGGTGCCGATTTAAGGCTGGATCCTCTTGGGGAACCAAGGTCTTTTTTGAAAAAGGTCAGGCTCCTTTCAGATTTGAACCCATGACCTTCAGATTCATAGGTTATTGGCTAGCCACTACATAATGGCAGCTCCCTATAAAGGGGAGAAGAAGAAAAAGAAGAATAAATGCTCTGCGAAGTAAAACTAGCCAGTGTGATTTTGATCATAACACACAATGAGTGCTGGTTGGTCTATTCAAATTTTGTTTTTTTACCTCTTCATTAATGAACGATAAAGAAGATTATTTATTGACAAATAATGAGAATCAAAACAAAACAGTTAACATAATGAAAAAAATGTTATCTCTTATTTCACCACGTGGGTTCCTAGGTTTCATTTTGTAGAACAAAGAATAGATCCGCTACCTCCAAAACAAGTATGTCACAGAAGGCCACTAAATAGGGGTGTTTCCTTCAAAGTCAGAGTAAACTGCCTGAAGATCAAGAAACCAACAGTCTGCATACAAATAAATTAGATCTGTAAAATGGATGTGGAAACAAAACTCAAGGTCAGGATCAAAACCAAAGTACAAGAGTGAATGAACAACCAAAATTTTCCATTGGAGTTTACAGCCGGTGAAGGGCAAGAAAAAGAAAACAATCTCTCCTTGAAATCATATTTCTACCTTTAATAACACAAGTCTGATTCTGCATAGCAAAGGTTGACAGGTTCTGGACAGCCATCTCTGTCCTTCTCCACGTGAGATGCCAGCACCTCCACAGATGACATGTGAGATGCCAGCACCTCCACAGATGACATGTGAGATGCCAGCACCTCCACAGATGACATGTGAGATGCCAGCACCTCCACAGATGACATGTGAGATGCCAGCACCTCCACAGATGACATGTGAGTTGCCAGCACCTCCACAGATGACATGTGAGATGCCAGCACCTCCACAGATGACATGTGAGATGCCAGCACCTCCACAGATGACATGTGAGATGCCAGCACCTCCACAGATGACATGTGAGATGCCAGCACCTCCACAGATGACATGTGAGTTGCCAGCACCTCCACAGATGACATGTGAGATGCCAGCACCTCCACAGATGACATGTGAGATGCCAGCACCTCCACAGATAACATGTGAGATGCCAGCACCTCCACAGATGACATGTGAGATGCCAGCACCTCCACAGATGACATGTGAGATGCCAGCACCTCCACAGATGACATGTGAGTTGCCAGCACCTCCACAGATGACATGTGAGATGCCAGCACCTCCACAGATGACGTGAGATGCCAGCATCTCCATAGATGACACAGTTGCACTCATCACAGACAACACATTGTCCATCACATTTCTCACAAAGTCTGCCAACAGCTAATCCCAGTTGAAATATAAGTCTAGTATCATATGCCTGCTTACTGTTACTCTTTTATGCTGTTACTCTTTCTATGTGTTAAATTATATGACCTTAAGTGAGAAGGAATAAAAATAACAATTATTGGAAAGTGTGTGTTGACTTGAGCTAAGTTATGAACCAACACACAGACATTCCAATAAACCCTGCTCCATCTTCAGCAGCGAGTGTGTGAACTCTTTAAGGCCTAAGCAACGGTGTGAGAATTGTTTGAGAAGTTCCGTTTTACCCAAACAACGCTGTCATCGTCGATCGTGTGCCCCGTACATTTTTCTTCGCACACACCTCCGTACTAGTTTCTAATGTTCGGAGGTACGTTTAAACTATTCAGGGAAAAGCACTCTGCTGTAATCCTTTTAGTATCATTTCCTAGCCTAAGAAATGAAACACGAGCATAATTTGATAGAAATTACAGCAAAATTTTTTCAACATTGCATTTTCTAAGTTTGTTTTTGAGTGCCATGAATACCAATGTTCCAACCACAAGTACAGGTTGCAGAATGCATCTTTCTGCAGCCTAAGCTTTGAAATTGTTTCAGTCAGATGTTTTTAATTGTGATAATGATAATAAAAATTTAGATTTTTTGGAAAGTGATTCAGACGGTGAATTTTCACCAGCGAAGCTGAGCAATAAGCTGTTCGGAATCTAGCGATGCTGATGAGTTTATTACACAGACAATGTCCCATACTACCGTATTTATGGTGTAAGAGAAGGAAAGTGCTCTAAACAAATAGATTGTACTATACTATGGCTAAGCTACTTTGAAATCATCGCAGCTACAGTCTGTAAATAACTGTACAAAGTAAATAGTAAATAGTGTGTGTGTAATGGCTCATTTTTCTGCCATTTTTTCTCTGACATTTTGCTCAGCACTCTGTGAGGAGTAAGAGCACCTGAGTGCTAAACTAACCCAGAAACTTATAACTTTGGAATATGTTAGGAAATTGAACAAACTTTGAAGTTTTGTTCTCAAATTTGGATATTCGCTACTCTTGTGGCTGCAAAACCATGGTAAATGAAGAATTTGTTTGTGAAATGTTATCCTTGTGAAATTAACACCTGCTGAATTCTTCTTTTCCACTAACTATAACAAAATTAAGCAAACACTTATCATCAGATTCAAAATGTACATTCATTTCTCTTTTAAAAAATATAGACTTTTATAGGGATTAGAAGTATATTATATTCTCCATAGCCTTTCTTGTACACCCACCCTTCTGCCATTTTTGTGAAGGGAAATTAATGTGGGCCAAGTCTGTCATTTATGGGCCTAAAAGAGTTAAGGCAACAACAGAATGAGACTCAAGAAATGAAACAAATACACTATGTAAAAAGATATTAACAAACTTATGGTGACTTTTATGTGACTGAATGAGCTATGTTACCTTCCAATTGGATGATGTGGACAAGGGCAGGCCACTTTTCAACTGAGTAAACAGCTTTGGATTTGTTTCAGAAGAGTAACTGCTCCTGAGAGACTTAAAGTGCATGTTGACATATGGCTGGAAAAACAGAATAAAACAACAATGATCATTTGCAGTCCTGAGACTATCCTACAGATAATTAAACGTTTTAGAAATTTATTAGTGACCTGTGTAAAATTTTTGTTTTTCTAAAGGATTGTTTGGGAGAATTCCTACGAATGTATGACCAGTTGTTTTTTTAAAGCGTTCCTGGGGCAACAGAGTTAATAATGTCCAAGTTAGACACTGGTAGCACAGTGTTGGCATGAATATGATGATTATTATCTGTTTCTTTGCAGTATATTCCTCTGCTTTGCTCTATCCTGCACAATCACTTTATTATCATGGATGAAATTCAGACCAGCAACCCTGGCCTTCATCATCAACATTCACCGTATTGTTTCTCTTGGATGCTGTCATTTCTTCAGTCCATATATTTCCCATTTCAGTGCCTGTTTGGTCATTCTCTGTTCATTTCATCATTTCCTGCATGTTTTTGTAGCAAATAATTTGTCATTTTGTTCTACAACTCTTGGGGAGCTGGCAACCCCATACCGTACCCTCCTCCTTTCTCATTCTGCCCAAAGCAACGGTGTCATCGTTTTCCTCATTATACTGTGACTGTATTATACATGGGCATTTTGGAAATAGAATCAATGTTTCAAAAGTTGTGTGAAACTATGTCCTGGACAATGAGGAGTTGGACTGGCCATGTTGTTAATTTTTTGGTCCCAAGCGGTTATTACTTTTAACTGCTTTTATCCCAGGAGTTGAGTTTTGAAAGCACTGAATACTTAGATGTTCTAACCAGCAAGAGGCAGGTCGAGAAACAAATAATATAATAACGGCCGATATTCTGGGGATTGTTATCAGATCCTTCTGTGACAAAATGATAATAAAAAATTTTGATTATCTTTGGAAAGTGATTCAGACAGTGAATTTTGACCAGTTTAGCTGAGCGCTCTTATTTCGGAATCTAGCGTCCAAATTCATTGTACACTGACAATTTTTTTATACTACCATATTTATGGTGTAAGAGAAGGGGGAGTGCCTGAATTTACAGTTCACGGTGAATGCACCAGCTATGGCTAAATCCTACATCGAAATCATTTGCAGCCACTACCTCTCTAAATAACCGCCCTAAAAAGTGAATAGTCATCTTGTGCAATGTGTAAGCATATGGCTGTCATTTTTCGCCATCTCATTTTTCCTGAAATTTTGATAGCACTCGGTGGGAACTATCTTCCCTGAGTGCATAAACTAACCCAGAAATGTATTTATCTCTTTGAATATGTTAGGCATTCTTTCCATCAATCTTGAAGTTTGTTACTAAGTTTCGAGTCCATTTACTATTCTTAATATGTCAAAAAAAGTATGGTAAGTGAAGAATTTTTTTAAGGAATGTTGTCCTTGTGAAATTAACACCTGCTGAATATATTCTTTGCATTAACTTAACAAAATTAAACAAACACGTATCATCAGATTCAGAATGTACACTCATTTCTTTTTTAAAAAAATGTATACTGGATAGGGACCAGAAGTATTTACAGTCTATACAGCCTTTCTTGTACACCCACCCCCTGGGCCATTTTGTACAGAAGAAGAAATTAATGTGGGCCAGGTCTGTCAAAAAAATGGAAAAAGAGCTAAAAGAGTTAAGGCAACAAAGGGATGAGGAAATGAAGATACTCAAAACAAATACACTATGTAAAAGTATATCAAAAAACTGTGGTGATTCCCTGTGGCTGAATGATTATGACTACAAATGACAGAATGGATGATGAAGACAAGGCAGGCACTACTTCAACTGTATAAACAGCTTTGGATTTGTTAATAATGAGTAATTATGATGAGATTCTTAAAGTTTCAAGTTCATATGGCTCTAAAAACAGAATAAAAAAACAACGGTTCATTTGCAGTCCTGAGACTTTAGTCTTATCCCAGAGATAAAGTTAAATACGTTTTAGAAACCCTTTTTACAGATCTGCCTTACTTTTGAGCAGACTTTTCAAAGGATTGATTGCAGAATGACTTCAAAGGTAACACCCTATGTTTTTTTATTTAAAGACATTCCCGATAGGCAACAGAGTGGGTGATAATCCACCAAGTTTGATTCACCCCAAAAAACATGGGCCCAACAATCCTCATGGAATGATAGTCACAAAAGTTTAAAGTAGTTTATTTTACTTCACGTTCCAAGAGCTCCCTGATATGCTTTTCATGCATCTGCTGTTTCCGTTTTAGTTCTTCTTGCTCCTTCTGCAGCAAGAATTGTTGGCATGAATATGATAATTATAATCTGTTTCTTTGCAGTATATTCCTCTGCTTTGCTCTAACCTGCACAATCACTTTGTTATCATGGATGAAATTCAGACCAGCAACCCTGGCCTTCATCATCAATATTCACCGTATTGTTTCTCTTGGATGCTGTCATTTCTTCAGTCCATATATTTCCCTTTTCAGTGCCTGTTTGGTCATTCTCTGTTCATTTCATCATTTCCTGCATGTTTTTGTAGCAAATAATTTGTATTTTGTCCTACAGGGTTGGGGAGCTGGCCCCCATGCCCGACCCTCCTCTTTCTCATTCTGACCAACAATAGCAAAGATTTTCGTCACTATACTGTGACTGTATTATACATGGGCATTTTCAAATAGATCAATGGAGTGGCTAGCCATTTTATTAACTCTTTTGGTCCCAAGAGGTTATTACTTTAACTACTTTTATCCCAGGAAGTTGAGTTTGAAAGCTATGCATACTTAGATGTAAAGGAACATAGCAGAGGCAGAGGGTGAGAAGCAAATAATATAATAATAACTTTGATATTCGGGGATTAGTATGACATCCTTCTGTGACAGAAAAAAAACAAGAATTTTATAATATCTTTGGAATGGACAAGAAATTAATGGTGAGTTGTTTAGAATTTGGTTCTTATTTGGGAGACTCAGGTCCAAATTCATTGTAAGCTGATGGTTTTTTTTTTTTTTTTTATTTGGGAGGGAGGGGGGGGGGGGAGGGCCTGACATTTACAGTTCACGGTGAATGCACCAGCTATGTGGCCCTAAATCCTCACGTTCAAGACCCCTTTGCCCCCACTACCTCTCTTACACTGCCCTAAAAGGTTCTATATAATCATCTTGTGCAATGCTAGTAAGCATAGGCTGTCATCCTTCGCCATCTCACACAATCACCAGAATCAAAGATCAGGTCTGTGTTTTTATCTTGCCCTATGCATTCTAGCCAGGCCATCCATGTATTTATCTCTTTGCTTTCCTTTTGCTCTCTTTCCATCAATCTTGCCAGTTGTTATCAAGTTCTCGAGTCCATTTCTTCTCATAATATATCAAAAAAGTACTCTCTGTTTTATTTCTTAGCTAAGGACTGCTTTTTTCCTTTTTTCTATCCTTCTATTATATTCTGTGCATTCTTCTCAGAAACCTTTCTCTGCTGTAAGTAAATATACACAAAAGAATTCCTTGCTTTTTTTTAAAAAAACTGTTGGCTGGACAACCACTGCAATTAACAGGTATAAGGAAAAGAAAATGACAAACTGGGCCATCCTGTACAGAAGAGGACAAAGAATCAAGAAACAGGTGCACTAAAATGGAAAAAAAAAAATGGATTGAGGAAATGAAGATACTCAAAAGATATCCTAAAATAAAAAGTAATGATAGGTCAAAACTGCTGTACCGGATTCCCTTGATAATATTAAGACTACAAATGACAGAATGGAATGGAGGAATACAATGCAAGCACTACAAAATGTATAAACGTCACAACAAGATGATAATAATGATGATTATGATGATATTCTTCTTTTTCAAGTTCACCAGCTCTAAACCCCGGCAGAAAATTCTGGTTGTTTGTCCACTTCTGAACTTTAGTCTTATCCCAGAACTTAAGTTTCATACGCACACCCTTTTTACAGATCTGGCTTACTTGTGAGCAGACTTCTCAGGTAGATGCACTCCGACTTCAAAGGAAACACTCCTATGTAGTCTATTTTTATGACATAATTGATAGGAAGTAGTGGGTGTCCTCCACCCCCCCCCCACCCCAAAAAAAACACATGGGCCCAACAATCCTCATGGGATGATAATGATAGTCACAAAAGTTTAAAGTAGTTTATTTTACTTCACGTTCCAAGAGCTCCCTGATATGCTTTTCATGTATCTGCTGTTTCTGTTTTAGTTCTTCTTGCTCCTTCTGCAGCTTTTCAATCTGCATCACCAGACTGATCTTATCTTTGATGGGATACATAGTATCCTCATCCACATCACTGTCACTATCTTCACTTCCGCTTGAACATGTAAACTTCTTCTCTGTGGAATCCGTTATGGATGAGTCACCTTCACTGACTGGTCGCTTTTCAACTGCAAAAAAAAAAAATGCTGAAATCATCATAGAATAATTATTAATATTACATCAGGGAAGGAAAGGGAGGTTTGTAAAATAAACCAATAGGAGATACAGCTATGCATATATGTACACATACATATACATACTATCTTTGCTAAAAATAGATTTCAAAATAAGATGACTGCAGCAAAGCTATGAAAGTCTTAGAAAAAAAAAAAAAGAACGGCCAAACAAAGTATCTGCCAGCTTTACAGACCAATTACAATAAGCAAACAACGGGCATTGTAGCAATTACCCTTCATCAGCTGAATCAATGACGAGAAACAAGAAAAAACACACACACAAAAATAACTGACTCTGAAACAGCTACATCGTGGTATCCAAATATTATGTAAAAAATAAAACAAAATAAAAATAAACAACAGAATATTATAAAGTATGTCAAACTGACAAGCAATTCAGAGTAGTCCAGGTAAGTATACTGTGCAATATAATAATACAAAATATATATCATTTACATATTTTGGGTTTTTAAAAAGTTAGTTGTGTAACCTTTACAGGACGTTACAGAACCAACCCCAGCATTTTTGTGTGGGCTGCTGTAGTGTTTTCCAGGCAAGTTTACGTCCAGTAGTTTGCCACTGCTTCGGAACAGTCAGCTTCTCAATACCACTGTCGAAACCATTGCAAGGTGTAAGACCCACAGCTGGGATCAAGCCTGGCATCCAGGCATTATGAAGCGCATTCGCAATGCCTAAGGTAGATTCGAAAAAAATTATAATTAACATGAGACCTGTATCATGAAGGGAATATGATGCATTGCTCCCTGAATCTGTGTCACTTTGCAACTGCAAATCACCAGCAGAAAGCAGAGGTGAACACATTTCCTCTATCACTGCAATCAGCTCCTTAAACAAAACAAAAAACAACTTTATATTAAGATTTTCAAAAACAGCTAACCGTATACGTATTAACAGTATTTACATACACAATATCCTCTTCAACCCTCAGGGTTTTAAATGGAATATGTAGAGTCCACTGTATTTTTAACTTATACTGTATGGGGGGGGGCATGGTGTAGCAGCTAGATGCTTGCCTACAGTCCAGAAGGTCGTGGTTTCTAGTCCTGATCACTTTTGTCAGAAATCGACCTTGGCTCCCAGGTTTACCCAGCCTTGAAGGGTACCAGATATAGTACAAGGAAGAAAGGCGACCGGCGTGATGTTGACATCACCCACCGAGTGCCGATTGGTCTATAAATTATAGGTTTAGCCTTATATGCCAAATACACCTGAAAGCATGAAAAAGGGACCTTTATATTGTATAGTAATTTATACTTATTTATTTATGTAATTTAAACTTTTATTATTGTAAATATTTTCCTTTGTTAAGGCCATCTGGTAATGACTAGGATGGAGAGTATATAATGACTGTTTGGATAACATGTGTTATCTCATGTTTAAATTCATTGAAATAATGTCAGGCTGTAATCCTGAAAAAGGAGGGGGGGGGGGGGAGAGTTATTAAACAAATATATATATATATAAAGTGGTGTGTTACATACCTGTTTGTCACTTTTCTCCATTTTCAGATAGGGTGAAGGTGGTTAACAGGGTTCTTCCTTCACTAGGCTGTTTCTGATCAATAAAGCTACACAGTTGTACGAAGCACAAAATCCACAAGGCAAGTTATCTTTGGCTGATCAGCAGTTAATACTCTTCTGTCCTCAAACAGCAGACGTTAACAGAACAGGTTTAATTAGCTTCTTCTGATCCTTGTCCAGAACTGACAGATGGTTAATATGATCTGTTTAGCAATAAAAGACAAACAACCAAACAAACATTCATGTTTATTTACACATTCAAAAGTATTCAATGTTTGAAAGAAAAAGAAAATTCAAAGTAATGCTTTCTTCTTGTAAATTTAAATAATGATGCACAGATAATATGTTGTACAATTTATCCTTGGTAAATATTGCTGTATTTCTTCTTCTTCTTGTGTTCGCTTTCTGATTTACACTGACAGACAGGTTCTTGTGATAAACTTGACTGTTTTTATGAGTTCCTGTTTAGTCCCATACAACTTTGCATGCAGTGGTGACTCGCTAAGCCAGTGTTCGCTTCTTAATGGGCTGAACAATGGACGTTCTTGCAGAACATGTTCTGTAGTCTGCACACATAGCCCACAAGGCACAAAGGTTAACTGCTTAGACAAAGCCTGTGCATATGCTGGTTAAGTTTGTTATGTCCTGTCCTAAGACGTAGGATAATGACCTGCCCATGCCAGTCAAGTAAGTGGTAGTCATCTCTGGCCAGACTCTGTTCACTTCTAATAGCCTGGATGGCCCTTTTCTTCTCATAGTATAATACTGCATTCTCTTCCTGGTCACATTCTGCCCCTTTCTTAGCAAGCTTATCTGTGGTTTCATTTCCTGATATACCACAGTGGGATGGCACCCACTGGAGTACAGTATGCTTTTGGGCAGCCACCTTGCCAAGTTCGTATCTCAGGTGAGGGAGTTTGCCACTGTTTAGGGCTTGAAGCACCAATAGCGCATCTGTGAATATGACCACTTGGTGGTAGTCAGAACTAGTGTTGTGTAACATTTCGGCAGCCTGCTCTAGTGCTAGGATCTCTGCTGTGTAGTTGGACAAGAATTTACCAATGGGTATCAACTTTGTGTGTCAGTGGTTGCTTTGGTATGTAATAAAGTCGCCAGCGCCCCCATTTTTCAATAGGTGTACTAATGCAGTGTTTACATCAACGCATAACCATGCAAAAAACCTGAATCTTAAAGCAGTGGAAATAAGGTTGTGCAACCCTGTGTTATGTAAACAAAGAGATCACAGGGTTAATCTTAGATTTCCACAAGTATCACATAATTAATCTTAGATTTTTACTGGTAGACTGCAAATGTAACAAGAGACAATGTGGTTGCATGTTTGTCAGTTGAAAAAAACACATAGATGTGAGTCAAGGACTATCTCACAGTCATATGTAAGGAAATCCCCCGTATGGGTTCCGGGGCCCCATTGTGGGGAAAACAAGAATAGACCCACTGCCTCCCCAAAAGCATGTTGTAAGAGTCGACTAATTGGAGAGCTTCCTTTGAAGTCAGAGTGCATCTGCCAGAGAGGCAAGGAACCAACAGTCTGTATTCAAGAGAATGAGATCTGTAAAACTGATGCACACGCAACACTCAGGTTCTGGAGCAGGACTGCAGTTCAGTAGTGGACGAGCAACCAGAACCTTCCGCCAGAGTTTACAGCTGGTGAACGTGAAGAAGAAGAAGAAGAAGATACGTAAGGAAATAAGGGCTTTTGAACTGAAATGCTATAGCAACATTTTCAGTGTACCATGGACCAAGAGGAAAATAAATACCGACATCCTAAAAATTATAAATATCAAGGAAGATTGGCTAGTAAACATTATAATGTCTCGGAAACTGAAAAATTCTGGCCATATCAAGCACCACAGTAGATTGGAAAGATTAACAGCAGAGGGCGGGGTAAAAGGAAATAAAGCAGACGTTGACCAGCATGAAGATGAGCACAGGATATAAGTGACTCCTTGGGTAGTAAAGTGCATGAGGTGGGACAGCTGGTGAGAACTGAGTTTCTTTTCAAGCAGTCAGTAATGAGAGCAACATTCTGCAAAGGACCTGCTACACAATGATGAATTAAAAGAATTCATGTTTTGTACTTTCAACCTCCTAGGTTATAACTGTATTCTCAGTGTATTCCTTGTCTATTTTATACATGATATAATCATTTCTTTCAGACATATATGTAATTTGATTAATTATTACTTAACTCCTTGAGTACCAGAAAGTGTTATCAGAAAAGCCCATATGTGAAAATAACCAAGAAGAAAAGCCAGGAGTATATTGCTTTCATCGATACTAAACAATGTGGAAGCCAGATTTCTCAAGTATACTGTGACCAACAACAAAAAAGACCAGAACATTACATACTGGGTGGGATTAACAAAACTAATACTCATGCATCACACCTTGCTTGGGACTGAATAAGTGAAAAGGATCCCTTTGCAGGTTCCAGGGCACATTTGGGAGGGGGTTTGTAGACCCATGGTCCCCCCCTCCCTTTCCTTAACAAGCATGTTGCACATTTTGACTGATTGGCTGTGTTTCTTTCTAAGTCACAGTGTATCCACTTGAGAGATGAGGAAACAACAGTCTGCATTAAAAAAAAAACATAAACTAGCATCTGTAAAGGGATATGCATGTGAAACTCAAGTTCTTGGACAAATCAAAGTCTAGAAGTGGACAAACAAGCAGAACTTTCCGCAGGAGTTACAGATGGTGAACCTTAAATAGAAAAAAGAAGAAGAAAGTCTTAAATTGACATAGGTTTATTTCTTGCTTCCCCCTGGCTGTTTCTGGGTCAGATTTCGGGGGGGGGGAGGGGGTGGGGGAGGGGTGGGAAATAGACAAACCGCCGCCTAATTAACAAGCATGATGACTAAAAGGAAGATAGTCTAGGTTTGACGAAATCGGATGTTTGAGAAAAAGGCAGATATAATAATTAATATTGCAGGCCCGCTGTAAATCATAACCCACATTCTACGCCATCTAATGGGAGAAACAATAAGAAGTTCCTATGATATACAGTTCGATTTTCCCAAGTAATTCTCTTAGAGTTCTACATGTAACATGTTCTTCATTGTTGCAGGCTTATTGCGGTGGGCACAAAACTATCACTACTAAATAACGTTATAAACAGAAGCACAAAGCCAAAATAATATTACTGAAAAAAAGTTCATAAAAGTATTAAGTTTAAAAAATAATAAAAGAGTAATTAACAAGCAACCTACCACACTGACAATAGCCACCAAATTCGAAAAGTACAGACTTTGTAGTACAGCTGAACCACAGCGAAGTTAAACTGAACTGATAAAGATTACATCCTGGATCAGTCAACTTTGTATAGTTGATACTTCCGTCTTTACAGCTGGTAGATTTTCAGTTTATTAACAGTCAGCAAACTGGGTCTGTCACAGCAGTTCTTGGATTCTTGGGGGAAAATGCTGGACACAGGGTTGGTGGGGTTTATCTGGGACTTGACCGTGTGCGACACTGGCTTCGTTTCTGTTTGTTGCTAGTAGTACACGAAAGAAGAGAGTGGCAACGTCAACTGTTGTAAAGTGAATATGTTGTCAGTGGCGTTAAACGCAGTAACATTAACTTGTTACAAGTAGCGTTAAATGTAGTAAAATGAACATGTTGTCAGTAGCGTTAGCTGTGCTTAAATGAACATGTTGTCAGTAGCGTTAGCTGTGCTTAAATGAACATGTTGTCAGTAGCGTTAGCTGTGATAATATGAACAGGTTATAAGTAGCGTTAATTGTTTTAAAATGAAAGTATCTTACTGATTTAAGAATCGACATAGCACCAGGGCTGCCAATGCTGGGTTCCCCTCCCCCCCCCCAGATCTGGGTTTTTCTTAGAGGCCTCAGGGAAATCAGGGTTTCAAAAAAAAAAAATGTATCCTTACATAAAAGTGGTAAAAGTTTCGTTTCGTAACTATAAATGTTGTACATTTTAACAATCTGGTTTTTTTGTTGTTCTTTGTCTATGTATTGCTTGGGTTTTTGTTTAGCTAAGCTGGGTTTTTCAAAAAAATCCTATTGGCAGCCCTGCATACCGGGCATACCCATAGATGCTTCGTCTCCCGCATGTCTTAAGGTGTAGATGCTAACTGTTCCCCTAGCACACTGATTATACACACGTTGTTCTCTTTCTCTCATCCGTCCCTCCTTGCCGGATCCACACTTAATTCCTCGTTCACACTTTTTTGTACATGTAATTTCATCCTATCTCGTGTCTTCTGTCCAGCAGTCGTTCATAAATGGTCTTTAGAATATCTCCCTTGTCCAGTACGAGTGTTCCCGTAGCTTTGAAAATATCTTAATTAGCGGTATCAGTGTTAGTGAACATGTTGTAAGTAGCGGTATCTGTGGTAAAGTGAACATGTTGTAAGTGGTATCTGTGGTAAAGTGAACATGTTGTAATAGCGGTATCAGTGGTAAAGTGAACATGTTGTAAGCAGTATCTGTAGCGGTATCTGTGGTAAAGTAAACATGTTGTAATTAGGGCTGTACCGAATATTCGCTTCGTATTCGCTTCGGGGCCGAATAGTGGACCCAATAACTATTCGGTATTCGGCCGAATAGTTGCGGTCGGGCCGAATACGAATAGTGGTTACCTCACAACCGTTTCTGGACTGGTGGGAAAAAAACAACATCAAGACTTCCCACCTTGGTTTATACTGTGAAGCGTTATCTTTGTGCACCACCTACGAGCGTACCAAGTGCCCCTTTATTTCCATCTTGCATGTGTTGCGAGTATAGTGTTTTTAGGTGTGTTGCTGTAGAAACAAAATGCAACACTTAAAAATGTAAGAGGGGCAGAAAAGCAAGTGTTCTAGTGTTGTCGGCTTGATTTCTTTGAGTGGAGTGTCCTCTTCGTTGATTCTTTGAAGTAACGGGAGTTGGTCATCATTTATGGGTGTCGTATCTGTTCTTTCGTCGTCTCGTGGAAACGGCAGCGGCTGAATGTTTTGATCG